ATATGATCGATCTGATACAAAGCAACCATGCACGCATTGTGGATCAAAAAAACATGACGATCGTGGATGTTGGAAACGTCTCACGACGCAAAGGACATCCGTTTGAAAAGTGTTTCTATGTACGCAGCTTGTGGAGAAGTACAAGAGGGTGGCAAATACCCTATGGAAGAATTCTATAACATGATTCGCAAGCGGTATGTCCCGACTAAGCATGCTGGGTTGTTACCACCGAAGGTGGAGAAATTGTTAACCTAGGACGCTCGCCAGATTGGAATCTGGTACGAGCCGAGCGTTCTAGGCTTTGCATTTATGCATTTGGGGGAGAAGATAGGTTAATCAAGATTTTTAGGGTCGGATCAACACGATCATCAATACATGTGACTTTAATTTGAATTGTTTGAGCTCCATGTCAGATTGGAAACGAGGTGATAAATACTTACGATCACTTCGCAGAATGAAGCTCAATTTGGAGCCAGGTAGTCGCGTGGATATTGGAAGTATCACACTCCAGACGGAAGGTTCAATCAAGCTGGAAATATCAATAACGAAAGAGTCACATTGTTTTTCGATTCGCGAGCTGAAGTCTCGATCTTCGACACAGCCTTTGCTCCTAAGCTGGGATGTGTTATAGACAGAAGCCAGAAGCAGGAATGTGTAGGAATTGGCAAGACTATGTATATGATGGAGAGACACACTAAAATTAAGATCACGGTGAATGGATAGCTAGTGTATTACTCTTTGATTGTTGGGTTGGCGATCAAGTCGGTTAAGAGCCGATCTAGGTATAGATTTCGTGTTTCCAGCCGGAATGCGTCGGGATCTTCAGACGAAACAAGTCATTATTTAATTTGGCAGGACAAAGACCTCCTTATCGTTCCACTATGAAAACGGGAAATGTGAATGATCAACATGTGGTAATTTCAGTGGGTGGATCGGCAGAAGTAAGGATCGGTACGCGCTCACCCAAATTTAAGCTTTGGGTAAGGCGCGATCCCGAATGGGTGCCAACAGTCACTAAAGGACTCGGCAGACCTAAATATCTGTACCTGACGACGTGAGTGAGCGAAGGTAGATGCGCCAACACGAATCGCCTTTGGGTCTGTAGACGGCTGGTAATATGGTACCGCGATTTCCAGGTTACGTTTCAGTTGAAACGCAGCGCTAAAATAAATGGCAAACAATTACGTTTGAAGCTACCGTAAGTAAGAAGGAAGAAATATTGAAGTAACAGACTGGATTGCTCGTCGATTATCCCCAGTATACTACACCGACGAAGATATGAAGTCGCCCAAAAAGTTTATTACAGGAAAGGGATACAAAGTCGGCGGAAGCTGCATCACTAGTCGGTGTGGACGTGATTAGGAAGGAAGAACATGGTAATGAGTGTGAGTATCCAGAATCACCGAAAGTACAATTTGTGATCGACGTGAACAAAAAACTTGAGGAGTCGCTCAAGCTTCGGAGAAAACAGAGAAAACGGATCATACTACTATTACACCTCAGTCGAGCGCGATTCACTGCAAGACTTAGGCGGTTATCCTCAAAATTATTGCAATCTACTGGTCAACATGTCAATTTCAGAGGCTACTGGGGAGCTTTCAGCAGATAAGGAAGCACCCCAGGAGTCAAGCTACTATTACAAAGGTGTCGATTTGTTTGCGGAAGATGTGGATCAACACATGGCGATCCTATCGGTTGACGCCTACAACGGAAGTTGATATTCGAATGGGAGATACAGATGTGCCGTTGACCGAGGATCAAGAACAGGTGTGACATATAATCAGGAGCAACCGCCACCTCTAACTGGTTAAGGTAATGCATTACCTCCTGCAGCACGTGGTGCAGTTTGCGATGACGATATTGATGAAGCGGCCTCGATCGCACAACGTGTACGACTGGTAGTGTCTAAACTCTGGAAGAAGTTAGATTTGACAAAGGGTTTATTATCAGCTAAGATCATTTGACCATGAACTTCTCCTTGGGTATCGCCAATTGTGGTAATTATCAAGAAAAACGGCATCGATATCAGATTTATGTATTGATTACCGAAAGGTGAACCAGCTAACAAGATTGATGGTAATCCGCCGATCAGCTAGCTTCTTGAAGACATGGATAATGCTATGTGGCATTGTTTCTTGAAAATGGCAAGTGGAATTTGGGTCGCAGAAATGACGGAGAGAGCGAAAATGTTCTCAGCACTCATTACCCCTTCCGGTCTGTTTAAGTGGTTAAGAATGCCTTTCAGGCTAAAGAATGCTCCACAAATATATCAGCGCTTGATTGATAATGCCTTGTATGAATATCTGAAGATAAAACCCAAAATCTCCAAAACAAAACGTCGGAGTTGATCTATGTCTTTACGAATGGCAAGCCTGATACAAAAAAAACGATCTGTGTTGGGTCGTCGTTTGTATACAGATGACCTTAGATTTCCGCTTCATTGTAGACCTCCCTTTACGAAAAAGTCGCGAGTTTATTGGATGTATGCAATGATTGAAACCTATCGATCATCCTGGGTAAATGTTTTCGAGGACGTAGGAAAATGGATTATCTCAGTCATCAGGTGTAACTTGATGGTTTGGAGGATTGGAAGGATCTGGAATTGCTGGTGAATATCCCATTCCCTGAAACACTGCGATCAATGCAGTAATTTTGGAAATTATTAACTATTACAGCAGATTTATTGAAGACTTTGAAATCTACGCATGCGTGCTGTATAAGCTGAGGGGTACATCAGATTAGTCTTTCTAATTGTGGAAAGACATTTGTTTCTAAAGATGAGCACGCTTTCGATCGCGGCCATCCAAATGGGTTCAATCTCGATCCAATTAATAAGATTGGCGACGTTTTCAATCCAATTTCCAAGACTGGTGATGATCCGGATCCAGAGGATAGTATTGCTGGGAGAAGGAAGTGATTGCGTTTACTATGCTGAAAGGCGAAATCGCTGCTACCCCAATCATAAAACATTTAATCCGGACCAAGCCCCGGTATTCGTTGTATATGCCAGAAAGTGGGAAGTATCAGCAGCGTTGCTACATGAATATGATGGAGTATATTGGCCGGTTATGTTTACGAGTCGTACACTAAATTGTTATGACATCGGAATGAGATTAGCTATGGAACGGTCTAGAAAGAGGTCTTAGATCTTCTTCGTATGTTGGATATCGGCTATACTATGCTAGTCTTACGTGCTATTCACTCGGCACTCAACATTAGTGTGGCTAGTGCAATCTTCCGGTCTCAACAAAAGACTAGGAAGATGGGCTGCGCTGTTACCAACTTGGATGGTAGAGTCCAGCATATGTGGAAGATGAGATATTCGGTACTCTGGCTGCAAGCATAACGCCTTGTGACGAAGTCGATGATATGTTGATCGCGATCACTTCGCAAAAACAGCCGAATTATGCTACAAGTATGATTTTGCCTACCGTAGAAAAGGACAAAAGTCTCTTGGTGGTCAGATTCGATGGATCGGCTCGGATAACGGAAAAAGATCAAGCATACAGCGCGATAGCATGGAATCTTCCAGAATGAAAGATTGCGGCGGCAGCTTCTAGGTGTGCTGCAGATCTGACGGCAAATGAAGCCAAATATCGAGGATTGCTATTAACTTTCGATCTCCTGGTGAGCCAAGCTAAAGGACGAAAGATTATGTGTGGTGATTTAAACCTAGTGATCCGGCAGATGCGCGGGGATCTAGATTGCAAGGCGCCTAGATTGCAATAATTACGTCATCAAGCTATGGAAAAACTTTGGTCGTGGCTGATTCACGAGTTCTCGCACATAAAGAGATAGTGGAACCAAAATGCAGATCGATTGGCAAGTGAAACTTTACAGTAGGAACAAGGCAGGGTAATTTTTCAATCACAAATTTCAAGACTGACTACATTCGATCGGATAGATGAATTGCGGATAGCAAAGCGTGGTCAAGATGGCAGCGATTACCAGGTAAGCTGTGAGTAGACGTCGACAGCCGATGTTGTTACGAGAGGAGATCGTTCAAAAAGTTCCGATCGAGTACATGAAGCAAGCGCAAGATGAAGAAGGCTAGATTGCAAGACATGCCTAATCGGGATTTAACGGATATAGATGCTGAAACGACAAAGACAAGTGCCTTGATCGCACTTGACTATGAAGCGGATAAAAATGGGCTGCTGTATTCCTGCTTTCGATCGGCGGCCAAAGCTGAAGATCGCAATGTGTAACTTTGTTTAGTGGTACCAGATTTGCTACAACACAACTTCCTGCACCATTATCACCATACTTTTTTGAAGGTAGTAATCAAGGAATCAGCCGAATGTACCAACGGATCATAGCTAATTTTCACTGGCGAGTTCTATATTAGAGTGTGCAACGTTACGTGAGAGAATGTGAGGATTGTAAAACTGGTAATGGACGTCCTGCGATCCCGGTGAATCGCCTATAAATCTACAGGCTACTTACCCTTTTCAAACTATTGCCATGGATCACATCCTGTCGTTACCTCGATCATTTAAGGGGAATACCAAAGCTTTGCTATGGATTGCTTGATTTTCTGGCTATGAAATCGCTAAAGCAAGTTCGTCTTGAACGCAAATAGTAGCAGAAAATTATAAATACATTGTCTTTCGTCGATTGGTGCGAGTGCATCCATACGACATGTTAAGGAGCCGGGTTTCATGTCTAATTCTTTTGAGCCTTTGACTAAATCGTTGGTCAGATCAGCGAGCCACTATGGCGTATCGTTCCTGACTTTCGCGCTTATTACGGCGCAGGATTGCCTTCATGGTGATACTCCATTCTATTGGATTCATGGCCGGGATCCACGACCCACTTTGGAAGCTACATTACCATTTGGCAGCCCCAAACAATGTAATAGAGACCCACGGCGGACTAACAGCGACATTACCAACGCGTTTAAGCCTGGTGAATGATCGCCTGAAGGCCGCAATACAGGGCCGAGCGGATCATCATAATGCAGATCAAGAAACACATGAAATAGAATCTGGATCGCAAGTATGGTTACCTGGATCACTGTTAAGAAGGATACGCTTGCAAGTAGGCACCTGTCCATTTCGGGTGACATGATTGTGCGGCGATCACGCTGTGCGTTTGGAAATTTTGGGTACACCATATCGATTAATTTTAGTGGTACATGCTTTAAAGTTAAAGCGGGTTAAGTTGCTTCCAGATTCCCTGAGAATTTGCTGGTGGCCGAGGATGTGGATCGCGTTAATTTCGATGAAGCTATGTTACCAGAGGATAGTTGGGAAGGCGATCTAGAAATCAGCGAGTACGAAGGGGAATGGATTATGGAGGTCCGATCCAATCGACAAACGCGTTATGGTCGTGCGAAGCGACAATATTTCGTGCATTGAAAGGGTTATGACGCGCCGTCATGGGTAGATGAAGCAGACTTAAGCTGTGGCGCCTTGTTGCAATATTTTGATCTCGATCGAGTGCGTCGGGATCGGTTTGAAGTGATGCAGTCGCATGAAAAAGAAGACACGGAATAGTCAAAACGATTGGAATAGAGATGAGTAGTGAAGGCGTGCAAGACGGCTGCACGTATTCAAGGAGGGTTTGTATGTGAATTAAGTGTAGCGATCGAGAGAGTCAACCCTTGATCGTGGTCGAAGAGACCTATAAAATGATAGTAAATTTTATACGTATCAAGAAGAAGAAATGAAATGACGCTATATTTGACGATTAGATATGTGAACGAGTAGAGACATTACTTTACTTCCTACCAAGCGCGAGACCGACGAGCCAGGGCTGTCCGCCATCGACGACTGGTATTGATTTCTTCATGGTTCAGCTGCATCCAACATGGTAATCAGGTTAGGAATATTCAGTTGTTTGCATCCGAAACCAGAATGCCACATCCGTTTCTCGATCGGGCGAGGAAAATGCAAGAAGGGGTTTAAAAGAATATCCAGATTGCAACGGTCGCCATACCCTGGATAATAAACTTGAGTATGTTTTACAACGTGATCCCAATCACGATCGACGTTGATTTTGCTCGTTATATAAGAGTTTGAGGGCTGGATCGCTTTGACGCTGCTATAATGTTTTGGCGATAGCGATAATTTAATTTCGTACGTTCAGCCAGCGCCTTCAGCCATCCAGTCCGCTTAAACGACACGGGTGCGATCCGCGTGTGGAAAGCTTCCCGCAATTTTTGATCGTTAAGTTGACGTTTTTTTGCGCTGAATAGGCTTGCTGAGGTGGCCAGAATGCGTACGAAGAGGATCTACTTGAACAGGAAAATAAATTTCTAGACTTTGAGAAGTGACGGTGAAAGTTTCCACCTCCAGCTCCGGAATGCTTGTGAAGCTAACACGTCGTGCCTACCATGGAGCAAATTGAACTGAAGAGCAAGGAACTCGATCGCGGTACCCTGTTATCCAAAGAACGTAACAACCCAGTAAAAGGGAGAGCAGAAAACTCTTCTGGCGATTGTAGAATATCAACTTCTCTCCGAGTCGCGCTCGAAAAACTAATGGCACTGTCGAGTCGCTGGTTACTTTTCCGAAAAGATTCGTCATCGACACCTTCAATATCGCTATTGGCGGGGGTCGAGACGGCCGGAGAATTATCAGAGCTAGAAAAATCTATGATGATAGACGCGGATGGATCATCATCAGCCGAGCTCGTTGCAAAAGATGATCGCGATTAAGAGAGAGAGGCAAGAGTGGCGTTATCAGAAAGTCAGACAACTCTTCAATGTTCGACTTGCGTGCTGGGTCGTACGATATAGCTGTTTTCCTTTAGCTACAAGACTTACGGGAGTATCCTTTGTAGTCGTGCTAACTGGATCGCGGGTCGTGCGCGCAGCTGTATCAGTCGAATCACTGGGTGGAGCATCAGACTTCTTGGATTTTGACTTGACTGAGGAAACTGGAAGACTTGGTTTCTTGATGGTGGATCTTGTGGATCGGCCCGAGTTTCCCAAAGTGCCACTTGCTGCTGATTGTGGCAAAACCTGTGGATAGGCCGATGTTGAAGGGGTTTTATGCGGTGGTCGAACATCGCACGTCTTCGAAATCGGTTGATCGCGAAGTCGCTTGTTGGATCGCGCCGGGTTTCTTATGGCCGCAGGAGTAGCAGATTGATACACCAAAGGAGGATCAGAAACGAGGCAGTATAACCGATCACGAATCAAGTCACAACTTTGAATGGATCGATCGCGTTCCGTCTCCAGGACAGTAATGTCTGTCCATAGCCGATCGAGCGTATTATCCCGATCCACTATCCCATGGAGATGTTGATCTTAGAGTTTGCATCATGTCAATCTGTTTCTTCATCCAGTGAAGCTTGTGCTTGGAGTACAAATAGAGCTTTTTGTGCTTGGATGCATTGAGCTGGAATCGTGGTGATCTTGGAATCGTGACCGACTTCCATCGTGCGGACTCGGGCAGTTAAAGAAGACAATTGATTTTTCAGATCGGCCATTTCACGCCGGTGTCTCTCTTGATCAGCGCGACGACAGCAGTAGCCTGGGACAGTAATGTCCGCAAGCCTTGGGAATCTTGAGAATGATCCATCCAAAACTTTATCTTTTCTTCCAGCTCGAGTGTCGTCTAAATCGCGTCGTGTAATCTCTTGTGCAAATCAGCATATTTGCTTTGCGCGAAGGGTAGGCACACTTGAAGTGATTCTGGATCACTTGATCAAGGCGATTTGCCCGAGCTTCTTGATGCCGGAGTAAGTCGTACCCATAGCGATCCACCACTTCTTTCTGGAATTCTTGCCACCCATAGACCGAGTAGAAAGCGGATCGAAAGCAGCACGACACACAGTTGGGATATATTAACTCTACCCCACTTAAAAGTAATTCTTTCGATCCTGTGGAATTCGGAACAAACGGATGAATAACTGGATGGTGGCGTGGAAACGCATCCAAAGTGGGACCAGTTGTGATGGAAGATGATTCTCCAATTCCACTGTAGATAGGGTCGGTGAGGAAGACGAAGATACGACAGGAAGCGCCATATCTTCAGGAGCACAAATGTACCCGCGCGATTCATTATTAAAAGGATCGGACACAATTAACTAGTGCTCGACCGACATGGAAGTGCGATCCACGTCAAGGGAATTAGATGAAGTTACGGGGGCGAACGACCAGGAAGTGGCTAGTTGTTGAAGACGAATGATGCACAGCTGAGCTCACACTGTATGTCAGCCAACGGTGCAGGGGCAAGTCGAGAAGATAAAATCGCTTGTGTGGTTCATATATTCTGTGTGGAACCACACACTGACCACGATCCAGATACAAATTGCGACATAGATATATGTGGATCTCAATCGACACGCAGATCGATCTACTACGTAGATCGTTAAACTATGTGGATCAATATCCTATGTGGATCGCTGTGACTACGTGGATCGCTATCGATATGTTCTGATGCAATCAGTATCCTGGATCGCTGTATAGATACAGCGGGAGTGGACCACACAATATGAAGAGACAGCACGTGACATCGGTGTGGACCACTCTTAGAAGATTTAATCTTTTGGATACGCTTGGTTGAATATATACCATATCCTATTTGAATAGGAAGGCATAGTCATAGGCTTTCGACTTTTGATTGGTTAATATGATACAGAGCTCAATTTCTAAACAAGTTCACGCGCCGCCTTCACTTCCGAGTCCCCCACGTCTAAGGCTCCGCGCGCGTTCAACTCAGATTGACCCAGGATATTTTGGCATAGTCACGAGCTCTCAACACACAAGACCCTGCGATTGGACGCATCTACAGCTTTACAAGTGTCAGACAGAAGTCTCCATATCGGGACAAGGGCGACCAAGGGTGGATCGCGGCGACTACTTACTAGTCCGCCACCAAGTACTACTGACCTCGTTAGTATTTCCGCGTGGTCGAAGACCTTCCCAAACACACCAAGACCGACATCGACTCAGAGTCCACCTGAAAGAGTGCAACTTGCCCGATCGGCGGGTACACAAGAGAAAAATGAGTTTCAACACACAATAACGGAGTACCCCTCCGTTAGTCGATTAAAAGGGTGCGAGTACGTGAAGCTGGGAGCGCAGGGATCTTGCGATCTCCACTCTACCACATGAGGCCCTTCCGTTCTTTAACATTGTTAAAATTTGTCACGACCGCGTTCGACCTCATCGAGACGCTGTCATCATCAGGCGCATACGACACAGTTGGAACGTCTGTGCTGCGTAAAGCTCGGTGAGACATCGAGTCAGCGATAGCCATGCTCGGATCTGAACAACATCCGCACAATGGGAGAGCAGGCAGCATCTGTACGTAGGAAAATTTCATTGTGGCGGATCTGGCCGGCGTCTTTTTTGCTTGAGCTTGGCGGTTGTGAAAGATGATGACAATTGTCGCACGAGTGTCAAATGTAAGCCCAGTTTCAACAAGCAAACGGATTAGATCAACCATTATGTCCGATCTCTTTATCAATCTAGCAACGGATCAGACGTACGTACACCCTCTGGCTTGACTTGATGGACGTTACAGACATTTTGCTCTAACATCCATGTACACTTGGCTTGAGTCAGCTGAGTGTTCAACAATCCTCTTTTCTATTCCTGTTCATAGTGGTTGACAAAGCACATAATCATGTCTTTTTTGACTCGACACAGATGCAAAGTTAAATGGATGAAACATGTGTTGGCGCTGATGTCTGCAGCCAGTTGCCGGTCGATGTGATCGAATACTGCATAGATTCTGATCAAGTGGCACCGTTCATGCGTGCATTGGCCAGTTCGTGACGCATCAAGAAGTTACATTTCTACCGTCTCGCGAGCACTTCTCTGTTCTTGTAACAAAAATAAACAACGTGCGTATTTTACATACACACTTGGGCCGTTTTCAAATCTCCTTAAAAGGATGTGGAATAGGTGTTGAAACACCGAGCACCACGAGGCTTTTGAAGCCATTAAGGAGAGTCTTCTTCAGGCGCCTATTCTGGCTCTGCTTGATCCTGATCGTCCTTTTAGCGTCGTGTGTGACGCTCCGGACTTTGTCATTGGCAGTGCGCTACTACAAGTAGACGCTGAGGATCGGGAACGAGTCATCGAGCTCAAACCTTGTCAGCTTACAGCTGCAGAGAAGAACTATCCAGTATACGATAAGGCGCTAAATGTCATGAAGTATGCTCTTGTTTAGTTCAGGGCGCACCTGTTGGTCTCGAAGCCGTTTGAGATTTATACCGACCATGCGTCGTTGCACACTGCGACACATCGCCTCATCTCTTGCAGAGAATGGTTCATTTTAGCTCACCCTTTTCGTGAAGTAAACCTCGTCAGTGTGCGTTGAATATCGTGTTTAATGCCTCGAAGGTTTCATTCCGTTCTATGTGAACGATCTGATAAAGCCTCGCGTTCTGTCAACGTCATTCCTGCCACATCAGGGCTTATTGGGGAGAGATAGCCGAAGGCTTTGCTGATGTCATCCCTGTTGCGATTCGCAAGAAGACAGAAGCGTTTCTTTCAGCGCGTTTTGACGTATTACGTTGCACCAAAGGCAGTATGGTTGAATGCCAAGATGTTCAGATAGAACAAGCAGATGCCAAAGACAGAAAGAGCGAACACGAGTTTAAAGCGGAAGATTGGTTTTGTTAAGCGATATAAATTTACCTACTCGCGCAGTGTATGCGGTATAAAAGACCAAACTACGTCCACGGTTTGTTGGACCTTTCAAGGTCATAAGCAAAAACAGCTCAGCCTATACGCTTAATCTTAACAAGAAGAAGCGAATGCACTCGATACAGAGCCAGTTATTAGCACTAAGCATAGAGTAGGTGGTTCTATAGTTGCTGCTAGAAGATAAACATAAAAATCAGCTCAAATTTTGCTCTGTATTTAGCATTTGTTGCTAGAGCCTTAGTCCTTGTAATGGAATTAGTATTTCTCATACTGGTCTCATAGAGACGTGGTTGTGACAAGCAGAAGGCACAAGCTTGTAACGCTAGCGTTAATAGGGTTGTTTCAACCCTGAAACGTTAAGATCCTAGAGCTTGTCTTTCTCTGCACTTTGTGCATATGTAGCTTTGCTAGGGTAGCTCTGCTACAGTTCTTGCCACCAAACTGCGCGTATCACGATTACTGAATGCTTGACACAGCGCGTCATATATAAAGCAATATGTCACACGCGAAGTTGTGCTAAGAAAGTGTTGACGCTTGACATTTATGTGCCCAAACCTGGTGATCTTCCCAAGAATGATTGTATTGTTTGCTACATGCTTGTAGAATGGATGTTTTTGCTAGAATAATATTCTATCGTGCTCGATGGTGCATCATTGGGTGCATGGACGTATATTGCGTCATCCAATAGGCGCATGAATGGAGCAATTAATGTATCATGTGAAGTCTACCTGAATACTTAATTACCTGACGTTGCATCTATGTATTACTAAAATCAAGTAAGCTATATATTATAGATGACGTCACATAATTATTAACTAATTTTTATTGTTAAAATAGTTGCTTTTAATTTATTAGTTTCGACTTCATGTAACGCTTTTACTTTGTATGCTGTTTGTAAGTATCTTGATATTTGTATACTCCATCCAATAAAACACTAGTCTTCTTTGTTGGTTGGAGATATAATGATGCTCTTACCGGTATACTCTCCTCTCTCTCTCTTTTATCCATATTATCATCACTACGACTTGTCCTATTACTTAAACACGTGTCTATCTATGTCATGTTTTTCTTATCTCTTTATGCAGGTATTTGAGCGCTTTGCTGAGCTCGGGTGGCATCAGTTCATTGACCCTGCTGAGACCTTTGAGTTCTTCTCTGTCTCCGGCGTCTTTCGTCGAGCCAATGTCGACGTATCACTACATACAGGACATTATGGTACAGAGGATCTTATGCAGCGCAGTGCTCTCTTTGACGTGTGTCTTAGGAGCGGTCTAGCACACTTGATAGTGGCTTATATTCGCGCTGAGGAGTCCCAGTCACAACCCGAAGGTGCCTTTGCTGGCGTAAAAAACTATGTATTGAAGGAACCAATTGCAGTGCAGCAATGGGTCCGTCGTTGTCTTGAGAGCAGTGAGCGAAATGTGAGCGAAATGGTGAACGAACAAGAGTTTAGCGGCCGCGAGTCAACACGCACGACGTCCAAGACGGAGGCCGTGGAAGAAGAATTACGATGTCTCAATGGACTGCGTATGATCTTGATTACACTTTTGGAGAGATTTAAAGAAGGATCTCGTCAGGCTGCGTACAGCTTCAATGGCACAGATGTAGCGAGCAATGTTGTGAATGAGACGGAGCTTAGTCGCCTAACAACTGCAAGTATTCAGAATTTGTTGCAATTGCTGTCTCAAACTCAGAGTGCAGCGTGTGCTTGCGACTGTATCTTGTGGCTCAATGAGAACGACGTGGCGACTGAAAGTAAGATGTACAAGGCATTTTACAGCCAGGCGAGATCGCTGCGCCTTACGTACCGTGAACAGTTTGAGGAGGTTTACGGCAACAAACTTTCATCGATTAGTGGACTGAAGAAACCGATGTTGTTGATTGAGCACGTGATGAAGAGTGCGGGCATCTCACTCAAGGACCTTGGCGGAAGCTGCCCACCGACACAGTTAAGGCATCTGCTGGAGCTTCTGAGAACAGCAAGCATCCAGGAAAATGTTGTTCAGTTCTACGGTGATGAAGTTGATTGTGAACCCATTGAAGGATATTTTCGAGTGCAAGTGGCTTTGCTACTGTATTTCTGTTTGGATAGAGCCTACCTAAGTGTGTGGAAACAGCATACTCAGAGTGGTGCTCGTATTTCCAACAAAATGCGCTCATTAGCTGACTCACTTGCGGCACAATTGAGCGTGCGCGATGATATGAAGTTGACTTTGCTTGCTTTGTGGTTGATGGAGAACGCAGTCGTGGTGAACACGTCAGGTGACGACCAGGTAGCTGCTATTTACGAAAATGCCATTGGTCTTTTGCAGCAGTCGAGTGCAATGCATCTTCACCAAAAGTACGATCTGGAGATTGATTTGATTCTTTATTTGCTTGAGACGTTGGTGCATCGCGGCGAAAGTCTTGTTGCATGGAAAGTATGGAACACATTTGGAGTAGAGCTAGAGCAGTCTCCTCCCGCTGCAACAGAGTTGATTGTAGTCATATCGTTGGAGTTGGATTTGTGGGAGCGCGCGCTGTCTTTGATTCGCAGGCAGAAGCGTCCTGACTTACTAGATTTGCTATTCAAGTGGTTGATGAAAAGTTATCGTCTAAAGGAGCTAGTTCAGAGTGTGACCTTGCTGCCTGTGGAAGAGAAGTTATTCCATACATGTATGATGGAGTGCAACATTATAATGGATGAAGATGTTCTCCGCGATGACAACATCAAGCGTGTAGATTTCCTCGTGATGTACTATGTTCTCAGGAATAAGTACGAGCAAGCCTGGCATGTTCACCACGAACACCTGGCAATGATTCGAGCTATGTCCCGTGGTGATACCGAGATTGCGTTGGCTGCGTTGGGCCAGCCAAGCTTGCGCATTCGTGCCGCGTTGCTCTCTAACATGTGTCCCGAGCCTACTCCAAAGTCGTATTCACAAAGAAGTAGGAACGCCAATGCGCAATGTGAAGGCCGACAGCGTCAACGTTCTGTTCAGCCTGCTCTGTTCGAAAATGTGGAGATGAAAGACGTATCCGATTCCAAAACATCGGCGCGGACAACCTTCGAACCAACTAAACCAATTTCTAGGAAGGTCTGTGCTGAGGAAAAACAAACCACACCTTTCGGAAGTGCTTTTGTTGATGAAGAAACGGAGCCTTTAACACGTTTTCAAGAAATGGTGGACACAGGTAAATTTTGCTACTCTCCTGGTGTTTTTTCGTCTCGGCGGGGATCCAGTGTTTCGACTCGGTCTGCTGAACCACCTACACCTGTTGCAGCCGATAAGAAGACTCCAACGCTTTTGAAAGACAGAGGAAAGGTGGGTATCAGTGCTGGGTCTGTCGATTTGAGTCCGGACTCACCTTTGCACACGCTCACCAAACTGAAGTCCATTGCCGCCAATGTCACTGGGTTACGTGATGTTGCTCGCCAATCTCTGAACTTTGGGCCGTCGCCGGCAAAGCCTTCCAGCGCACCGTCTACACCGTTGCAGCATCCTGTATCCTCGTTTGGTGGTAAGAACACCTTGTTGTTCGTTGATGCTTGTACGCGCCATTATCCTAACGGAGGTACCATCTTTTTGTATCTCTAGATCGTCGCCCACTTGGCACACCGCCCATGCGAACCAAGATTAATCCTATTTTCGCATCCACATCTTTGCCGCCGTATGTGTCGAAAGCCGGAGGCTCTACTAATGGTAAGAATGGTTGCTGTTGTGATTTTGGTGATATACTAATCTTGCTTGTCTGTAGACTTTTCGCTGAAGCCACGCAATGTCGAATGCGTGACTGACATTAGCTCTCCAGTTGAAGTACAGAGCCCTGCAACGGTGGCCACTGATGTACCTGAGAATCGGACGGTGCAGCAGGCCTCGACGCCACCCCCTGATTTAGACTCTGCTGCTGTCGTGGTGACCCCAAAGCGATACCAATTCGTACGCGAGCCATTAACAAATCCCCGACTTGAAGTAGCGCACTCAAATTCAGATTATCCGATGTCACCAGCGACAGAAGAACTCGAAGGCATGATGGAGCCGGAGCGCATTGACGAGGAGTTTAGCACGCCAATTTCTCGTTTAAGAGGACGGCGGAAGGAACCAGCAAGCGCTCCCGTGCGTCGCAACCCCCCGACGGTCCACTCGTCAAAAGTACTAGATCCAATATTGCAGCTTCGTGTCTGAAGAATAAAGCGATAGTATCGGCGAGACGTGCAAGCTGTGACGGACAATCTTCCAACATTGTAACAACGCCTCATCGAACTGACAACTTGTTGAGAAAAACAATTTGACTGTAACTTCGCAAAACACGAGTCATCCGAACGAACGATACTTGACGCTGGATCGTACGTACAATGTGGTTGCTATATATTGCATCTTCCTCTATCCACAGATCCTGTCACCAGGCAAGCCAATTAAAAAAAAATGGAGCAGCACACAAAGCGCGGTTCACTCACTGTACAGGGCGCAGAATGTTGATGTGGTAAGCTCACTGGCACAGCTGTTATATAGTGTGGAATATTTGACTTGCCTTACGATGTGCTGGTGTTGTTCCTGTTTCTAGTTTGTGTCTCGATCTACATTTGCAATCGTTGAGCTTATCAGATGAAAGCACAATTCTTGACAAAAAAACACCTTCAAAAGAATTCTACAACAGCTGACAACAATGTTCAAACGTTATACCTATCATTACTCGCCGCGTCATTATCGTAGTCGTCATTGCAGATGGCGATTAGTGTACAAGAAGAACGGCAAAATACGAACCAAATAACTTTACACAGTATAGAAATGAACATGAAGAATTTAGATTAGGGGTCTTTCTTTCTTTGTCTGGATGTAAGTATTGGTCGTTCGATCCAATTTCTATACGACTGCTTAATGCGGGTGGTCTCAGATGAGGCCTCGGTCTCGTCATGCAAGAGGGTGAGGATGTCTTCTGGGGTCAACCTTCGCTCAGCCCACTTCTCAAACTGAGCTGACTGGAACGTCTCAACAAGATGCGCTGCTTTGTCGTCCAGATTTTCATGCTTTCTCAGATCCAACGCTTTTGCAATGGCGTTCTCGTCGAACAGCTCTTCAAACACGGCAAATATTTCCTTATTCGCATTCTCCTTGTAAACTGTTTCCATTGAAGAGACCCAAGTGAAAAACTCGTCGATATCAAAAAGTTCGTACAGAGTTTTTCCATTGAGACCATAAAGACTAAATAAATCTTGCGGCTTCGCCCACGCCAAAAACCACAAACATTGCAAAACTGTTCTGAACACCGTTCAAAAATCTATTTCCAGCATGAGGCTGATCCTTTCTTCAACATTGTTAAAATTTGTCACGACCGCGTTCGACCTCATCGAGACGCTGTCATCATCAGGCGCATACGACACAGTCGGAACGTCTGTGCTGCGTAAAGCTCGGTGAGACATCGAGTCAGCGATAGCCATGCTCGGATCTGAACAACATCCGCACAATGGGAGAACAGGCAGCATCTGTACGTAGGAAAATTTCATTGTGGCGGATCTGGCCGGCGTCTTTTTTGCTTAAGCTTGGCGGTTGGGTAGCAAATGAAAGATGATGACAATTGCCGCACGAGTGTCAAATGTAAGCCCAGTTTCAACAAGCAAACGGATTAGTTCAACCATTATGTCCGATCTCTTTATCAATCTAGCAACGGATCAGACGTATACGTTCACCCTCTGGCTTGACTTGATGGACGTTACAGACATTTTGCTCTAACATCCATGTACACTTGGCTTGAGTCAGCTGAGTGTTCAACAATCCTCTTCTCTATTCCTGTTCATAGTGGTTGACAAAGCACATAATCATGTCTTTTTTGACTCGGGATGCAAAGTCAAATGGATGAAACATGTGTTGGCGCTGATGTCTGCAGCCAGTTGCCGGTCGATGTGATCGAATACTGCATAGATTCTGATCGAGTGGCACCGTTCATGCGTGCATTGGCTAGTCCGTGACGCATCAAGAAGTTACATTTCTACCTTCTCGCGAGCTCTTCTCTGTTCTTGCCACCAAATTGCGCGTATCGTGATTACTGAATGCTTAATACAGCGCACGTCATATATAAAAATATTATGTCACACGTGATGTTGTGGTCCAGGAAATGTTTAATGTGCCTAAACCTGGCGGGCTGCCCAAAGCATGTTTGTTGCTTGTAGAGTGGATGCTTTCAGTAAAAACGCATATTTTTTTGAAGCGCATGAATGGAGCGATTTGGGCATAAGCTGTTTGAACGTTCTTGTAAAATGAATCTTGTGACCATTCAAGCTACTGATGCCGTTGTGAATCAGAAAGATCATTAGCTGTTTGCGTCAGACATATTGAAAGGTTCCCAACCGAGTGAAAAGCGCTTGAAAGCACTGAAAAGCCACCACTGGAACGCATCAATAATGCTGCTTTCTTGCACGTGATCGAACCTATTACAGACGTAGACAATCTCCTCGGATTAAAATACATCGAGCAATGTACAAGAGAACATGAAAAGCATGACGAGAAGGAGTTGCAATCGTCTTAATAATACTTAATACTCTTATGGTTGTTGCTACTATACAAGAGATGTCAAAATCTCGAGCTACTAAGAACCCCTAGGCGGTTTTACAATTTGTGGGTAGGATACTGTCGCTACCGGTTAAGATTAACATTCCTCGTCTTTCTATTCGTTTTGTTGTCCGCCATCCAATCATATTTCTTCATTGAACTAGATGGACCATTTTCAAACTATACCCACCCATTTTCCAAAAGCTTAAAACGTAATCAACAACAACAACCCCTTCCTCTCTCTCCATCTTTCTCGAATATGATGTCTATAAGTAAAATAAACCTTGCAACATCTCTCGTTGTTGCTATCTCTGCTGCTATTGCTACTGTTGTTTATATCATACAACAGGAGCAGATTAAAAAGAATAGAAAAACAATATCCAAGAAATTACCATTTCCAACAACACGTATACCACTTCGGCGTGTTCCATTGGATCAATTACCCAAACTTAAGAATGATTTATTACTCCGTGCATTACGTGGTGACCGTACTGAGCGTGTTCCTGTATGGTGTATGCGTCAAGCAGGACGGTAAGTAATAGTGGCGAGAACAAAATATAGTAATAAGATGATGACGAAATTCGTATCATTATTATGGTGACTCTCATTGTTTTTGACTCATTTTTTGGTAGTCATTTACCGGAATTTCGAGAATTACGTAATCTTGGGTACACTTTTTTTTACGGTATGTGTTTTTTTAGATTTTTGACTTTTTTCTCGTTTTCTTTGGGTCTTATTTTATAATATTGATACTAACATTTGTATACATGTGATGTATATTGTAGATGTGTGAAGTCCCACAGCTTGCAGTGGAAGTAAGTTTACAGCCATTACGACGCTATCATATGGATGCAGTCATCATTTTTTCAGATATTTTAGTCATTCCTCAAGCTCTGGGCATGAAGGTTACAATGGTATCAAAAGTAGGACCGGTACTACCCGATCCAATTCGTAATCCTGAGGACATTAACAAGCTTGATTTGAATCCCAATATTGAAGATAAACTGGGCTATATGCTGGATGCTCTGAACTTGGCTCGACAAGAGATTAAGGGCGAGGTGCCGCTGATTGGGTTTGTGGGTGCTCCTATTACGCTCATGTGCTACATGATTGAAGGTTGTGGTAGCCGTACCAAGGCGCTGTTCAAGACTTTTTTGTACCAGTATCCAGAGGCAGCTCATAAGCTTTTGCAGGGTATCACGGATGTTTGCGTGAACTTTCTGTTGGCGCAACAGCGTGCTGGTGCACAAGCGCTACAGGTCTTCGAAACGGTTGGAGCGGAGGCGCTAACCCAGGATCACTTTTACGAATTCGTGTTTCCGTATCTGGTCCAGATTGTGGATCGTGTGAAAGCCGAAACCAATACACCGATGGTATGTTTTTGTAAGGGCACGCAGTACGCATATGAGAAGCTCGTGACGACCAAATATGACTGCATTGGGCTGGACTGGCAATCGGATCCTGTTGAGGTTCGCCGGCTTGCTCGCGGCCGCGTCTCACTGCAAGGGAACTTGGACTCGAGTGTTATTTATGCGTCTCCAGACATTATCTATAACGAAGTAAAGAAAATGCTTAAACGCTTTGGCACGCAAAAGTATGTGGCCAACCTCGGCCATGGCTGCTTTCCGGACATGGAGCCAGCACATGTGGATGCTTTTATCAAGGCGGTGCAGGAGATTTCACTCGAGATGAACTCACGTTAGGACAAGGCACCGTCCACTTTGTCCTGAATAGAAACTAGCAGCTTCATGTTGTGCGCGCTACGGCATGTCTATGCATCGTCACGGCCCCATCTGAAAATGACGAGCAGGTTAACAACAACATTCATCACAATTTGCACACGAGCTTGATAGAAAAACGAAGTAAGAGAAAGCAAGTACGCCATGATGATACCTCGATGCAAGAACAACGGAGCACAACTTGCTGAGGCAGGTATTACGAGATCACAACTTTCCTTCATTTCGTCATAAAGCTTGAGTTGAAATTGACACATCCTCTTGTACTTAACGGTAGCTTGTCCATTCTAAGTATTTCGTTTCTGCCTCCGACTAAGAGATAGACCAAAAGTGCATCATGTATAGCGAAGTCCGTAGTCGTCTTCTCCATCAAGTAACGACATGACTTCTTTGTCCTCCGCAGACAAAGTTGTTGCTTCTACCTTCGGATCGGAATCCCATTGATAAAGTACTTTGCCGGCAAAAATGATCAGGAACGCAAAGACGTCTACGAACACGGAAGGTGGGATCCAGTTTCGCAGACCATCGTGAAGATTTATGATACCAAAATTGTCAGGGTCCACCTGATACCATGCCATAACCATGAATGAAGTCACAAATCCTGCAAGCGTGCACCCGTACATGGTTGACACGTTAGTCAGACGGATAAGTTGAAGTAGCAGCAGATTCACGACAATATTGCTGAAGATATAGAGGATTAAGATTGGAAGACCCATCTGAACGAACACAAGACTGGTAAGTCAAGTGATCGGGATTCAGTCGCGGTAAATTTTACACTTACATAGCAATGATCCGCAGACACCTCACTTTCGCCCTGAATCAAACACATGAAACCACTGGCTTTCTGGTCGAGATGGAGAAACTACGCATTATCACAAGCATTGCGACATAAGAACCTATGCCGAAATGAAGCAACGATATGTTTTGCCACGTACTTCGGTGTCGAAAATGAATGGAGCCGCTAGCAATCCAGCTACAAACTGATTCACCGAGACCCATGCATTTAGGTATGACATGTCCACTGGCTGGTCGCTAATCACGCGCTCTTTATAAAGCATGGACAACGAGCCTGGGATTGCTGCAAAGAGGTAAAACATACTAACAGAAGAACAGCATCGTTGGTTTCCAACTACACTGGCATCCTTTCACTTGATCAAATGAGTAGCACCTGTTCCAACCGATCTCCCGATCGTCAAAGTCTTTGCTCTGAATACTAAAGAATAAACAATGTATCATCAGCAACTCAATAAAAATGCACAATACAATTTACCAACATACTCTTCAATGGACGGAATCAGAGATAGAACAAGGCCACCTGTAATAGCCAGCATACCTACAACCTGAGGTCGTGTATATCTACACAACAAGAAAAATGCACAAGTTGATTTGCATTAGGTGGAGCAGCATATGACTGTATCTGTTTGTTTTATCCAAGTACCTCACATCAAAAAATACAGCTGAGATACAGGACGAGATTGGAATCGAAGCCTGCATAAACAAAAGTGTTTGTGTTGGATCTGTTCGACCACCAGCAATAAATAATAGCAGACCCTGTCACAAAAAGAATAACATTCACAAAGTGGCAAATTGGTTCATCCAAAGTTTGTCAACACTTGAACGTCATATTTTACTTTCAATATGAATCACACAATACTCTTTTTACCTGAAGAAAATCAAGTAAACCCATGATACAAAAGTGAAATTTCGGAAATTCCATTCCATCATCTTCCGTAAAAGTCTAAATCGAAAAAGAGGTTATAATCACACGGTAAGAAAAAAGATCATATCCATTGGACCTTTTTCCCCTTTCTTACAACTAGAAGAAGAAGAAGAAGAAAAGAAGAAAAGGGTCATGTAAAAAACGCACACCATGTGTTGCTTTATATCCAGTGATACAAAACATTGGAGGAATGTATAGAAATATCATGACCTCGTACAGAAAATATCTAGGTCCCGGGAATTAAAACGTCAGTCAATCGTATTGATTCGTTCTACATTGAGAATGCAATGCAGCTCGATATGTACGAACCTGTACGACTCCATACGATCCACCATGAACTTAAACAAGAATCGTTCCGATGACATGGCGATTAGTAGCAATAGAATTGCACTAAAAGACAGCAGTGACTGATAAAAGACAATGAGATTGCAAGAGTTGACACCAGTGTGTGAGATATTATCGATCTGTTTCTCTCTCTCTTGCTATCGTATGAAACAACACCTTGCGTGAACAAATGTGATAGGACTTTCCAGTCCTGACATCAATACCGAGATGAATAAAAGGAGGTGTACTGAACGTCATGGAATGTTGTTGTCGAAGAGATAGATTTCTGGTTCACTTTTTGTGACGGATGTGATATGGATTTTACGGCATGGATGTGTTTAATCTCTTGTTTTCTGGATATGACTATACGATTTACGTGTATACAAAATACTTTTGCTCTATTTTTTGAAAAATTAGAACACCAGTTTTGACCACCAGTTGACAAAAAAAAAAGACTTGATGGGCCAGAATTGATCTGTCTAAATGGCGGGAACTGATGGTACAGTAGTTCCTGCGGAATTGATAAAGGAGGAAGCACCTGCCGAGTATGTGACGCGCTTCTGGCGTGCCAATGCATCAGCTTTCATGCACTGGTTTCTAGCACTTCCCTATGCCGGACAAGTATCTCTTGTGCGCAATGCGGCGCCTGATATTCCCGTGTCCTACGATCTCAAGGCCACACAACCGCAAGCGACACAGCTCCTCACACCCGAACTGACACTCGAGGCATTGCTAGGAGAGAATGGAAAGGTGCTGCTGCGACTCATGAACGCACGTGCTACGAAGGCGGATCAATGCAGTCGCCATGATCTCGTATATTTGACGTCGTTGCGTGCGGCTGGTACCATGCCCACGTTCTCGGGCGAGACATTTGCACACGTATCGTTGGCCTTCATTGACCTTGCGGATCCAGAGCACAATGTTCAGTCTTTGCTACCGTCGGCATCGCTAGAAATTGTAGAGGAAAAGCAAGCTCTGATCAAGCAGGGCAAACTGATGGAGGCGGACGTGTGGCTCACGCTGCAAATGCGACAGCAGGTTATTCTCACGTTCTTGAGTAACGTGGCACACACATTTGAAACGATGTTTCTCAAGCAGGTGATGATAGGTGAGGTAAGCGCAGCGGAAATTGGATGTCGATACTGTGGTATTTCTACGCGTCAGGTGAAAGAAGAAGAAGAAGGGACGACGACGTTGTTGCAATGTGCTTGCAAGACAGCTTTCTACTGTTGCAAGGAACATCAAGAAGAGGACTGGATCAACCATAAGACGAGTTGCAAGGCGATTCGGAAAGAGATGGCTGCTGTAGAGGAAGAGTCTCCATAGCGTGCTAAAGGAACTCTGGTCGTCCATAGTGACAATATTACCAAGGTAGCTCAGCTGCTTGCAGGTTTGTTGTGCTAGTTCAAAGAGATTTACTTGGGACATCTTACCATTATCAAGTCAAAAACGAAGATTCATCAGCATGCATTGGATGAATGCATAATCGCATTAGATCCTTTGTCCTAAAGCTTTGCTTGTTTAGTGGTTTCGTCAGCCTCATATGATCTAGCGCCTCTCCGTTCCTGTGACTGCTTGCTTCATCAGCCATGTATTGAACAAGATATTTTGAAACGTGTCAAATTTAGCTCTTTCGTGCGGTTCATAACAATAAACATCAAGTGTTTGGTGTGTTTCAAAATTTAGAACTGCCGGTAACTGCCTCACTAGAGTTCGAAACAAACAAGTAAATTAGTAAATTATGCTGACACTAAAATCCAAAATAGCTCACATATCGAATTTAACAGATCTAAATTTAGCCACCGACGCAATGTCCAAGAAACCCGAACCAAGTCCCGTGCGTGTGCGTCTAGCAACACACGCAGGTTCGTGGTATTCACATGATGAACAGAAACTTCGTGATGAGCTTTCAGGTGACGTAATTGAAACTTCATGAACGTATAAAACATTCAATTCAATTCTATCTCCTAGAACTTGCAACTAATGTACTGAAATGACTGTGACTTTCTAAAGACTGGCTAAAAACAGCAGAGGATCAAAGCACGGAGCAAAAAGAGTCCAATATACGCGCTATTATTGTACCACATGCAGGTTTTCGGTACGTCATATCAACAAGAAGAAGAGGAAGGGACAAAAACGAGCTTTATGTCTCTCTCTCTCTCTTTCTTGTAGATATTCAGGTCTTACAGCTGCATGCGCGTATTATCATTTATTAAATTTGGAACGTCTCAAACGAGTTTTTATTTTGGGTCCTTCCCATCATTTCTATTTACGGTACGTACTAAAATAGGACGCCAAATATAACAATAGGAAGTTGAAATATTAAGTTTGTGCAAATAATGAATCAAGTGGATGTGCTGTATCAACTGCTCACGAATATGAAACGCCATTGGGAAATATTGTGATTGATCGTGAAATTAACGAAAAACTTGTAAATTCGGTAACTTTTGAAGAAAATAAACAATTGAGTCAATTCTTTCCACATGGAGCTACGGGACGAACGAAATTGATTAGTATGATGTTATTTTTGCAGGGCAAATTTGCGACTATGTCAATGGATGTGGATGAAGATGAACACAGTATTGAAATGCATCTTCCTTTTATCTACAAGGTGAGCAAGAATCTAGTATCATGTATGCGCGTATGTATCTATGGGATGTTTTTATTGTTTTTCTGTTATTGACACGGTGTTTTTTGCTGCAGATAATGAATGGCCGTCAATTTACAGCAGTTCCGATCTTAGTGGGCAATACTAAGAGTAAAATGGATGAGGAATACGGAAAGTATGGACGAGATGATTTGACAATGCTTTCTACGAAAGCTATTGTGGTTGAAACGTAGCTCTGACGTGTTTGTTGGTGTGGATTGAAGGATATTAGCACCATATTTAGAGAATGATGAAAATCTGTTTGTGATTAGCTCTGACTTTTGTCACTGGGGGCCACGGTAAGCTAGTTGATCTACTATGTTACGCATACATAGCGAGCTATGTACTGAAATAGTTTATGCTTTCTTGTTTTGCTCAGTTTTCGGTACCAGCCACACGACTCGACGTATGGAGAAATCCATGAATATATTAAATATCTAGATCATCAAGGCATGGGTGTACGTGGTCAGCACTTTTGCGCGGTTTAGTTGATTTTATAGTGACTGACGTTTGCTCGTCTGTATAGTTTATTGAACGCTTGGACGCTGAGGGGTTTACGAAGTACCTGGATGAAACACACAACACAATTTGTGGTCGCCACCCGATCTCGCTGTTGTTGCATAGCATCTTGGCCTCAAAGAAGCTGAAGTGCAAGCTAAAGTTTGTCAAGTATGCGCAAAGCAGCGCATGTATGCGTCGCGGTGACTCTTCTGTGAGCTACGCCTCTGCCATCGTCTACAGCGAACCGCAGTCGTAGCAGCTTTTGCAGTGCAGCTCTCCTCTTTTTGCGTATCCTGCGTAATCTACACATCAGCATCGTTATTGTTCAGTTTGTGACGCATGATAGATTGTTATTCGGTTGATTCAAATGGTGTATTGATGGGCATCTGAACGTATACGTCTACCTGTACATGCATCTTCTAGCGTTGTCTACTCGTCTACTTCTGTGGACCAAAAGCTTCGGTCAACACCACCTGTAATTGCTCATGTGAGCGCTTGGACAAGCCGACGGCCGGAGCAGCAAGGGTTTCACGACCAATGTACTCAAGATGCTGTTTCTTGCCTAGCAACTTTTCAATGTGCGCTTGGGCATACGTCCATGCACCCTGATTGATTGGTTCTTCTTGAACCCAGACAAACTTCTTCGCATTCTTGAACTTGGCAAGTTCACCGGCAACCTGCTCAAAGGGAAACGGTGCCAGCTCTTCTAAACGGACAAGCGCAATACGCTTGGGATCGTTGCTCCGTACAAGACGCTCCTTTGCAAGCTCGTAGTAGAATTTGCCTGAGCAAAAGTAGACATTTTTGACCTGTGAAGCGTCTGTGACTGTTGGGTCAGGAAGAACTGGCTGGAATGTGGTGCCGGGTCCCATCCTGGATAGTGGCGATGTTGCGTCGGGAAGACGTAGCAGCATCTTGGGCCCCATTACGACTGCGGGTTTGCGGAATGTACGTTGCTGTTGACGACGAAGCAGGTGAAAAAAGTTGGCCGGTGTGGTCACATTCACTACAATCATGTTGGTGTCGTGTTGGAGCTGCTTCCACACAGGCTGCTTCTTTGACTCCTCCACTGACGAGCGTGGGATTAGTGAAGGAGTATCAACTAGTTGTAAGAAGCGCTCGACCCGACCGCTAGAGTGATCAGGCCCAGCTCCATCATTGCCGTGAGGCAGTAGCAGCATGAGACCCGACTGCCGCATCCACTTCGATTCTGCACTTGACAAGAACTGATCGATCACGATCTGGGCACCGTTAAAGAAGTCACCGAACTGAGCTTCCCAGATTACTAAATTGTAAGGGCTTTCCACTGAGTAGCCGTACTCGTAACCCATGACAGCAAGCTCTGACAGATTACTGTTGACAACACTCAGCTTACCAACGATATCAGACTTCTTGGGCAAGTGGTGCTGTAGTGGGAAGTAGCGCTCCTCGGTTCTTTGGTCCGTGAACGAGGCGTGCCTTTGACTAAAAGTGCCGCGTCGGCAGTCTTGGCCGGCAAGGCGTACCGAGTGACCGTCTTGCATCAGCGTGCCAAACGCCATGGCCTCAGCTGTGGCCCAGTCGACACGAAGATCCTCAGGGTTTTCTCCATCTTTCACCTGCAGCATCTTCTGACGCGAGTTGATATGCGAGCGCTGCAGGCGACTATGAGGTTGAATACGCTCGGGAAGCTCTACGGATGCAAGACCGACTTGAATGAGGTTGTCGATATCGACACCAGTCGCATCGTTAACGTATAGATCCTCAGGCTTCGGCTGCGCCATGGTTGACCACTTGCCTTTGAACGCATCGATCTCTTTGGGCACGTATCCAGGCTCATCCGTGACAAGTTTAAGCTCGCTTTCGAGATGCTCATTCAACAGCCCGACAGTCTGTTCGAAACTGGTGCGCGAGACGAGACCAGCTTCTTCCAACTCGCGGGCAAACTTGATTGGAAATCGCTCAGCCTGATCAACACGTGCATACATCTTAGGCTGTGTGAAGCGCGGCTCATCTACTTCATTGTGTCCATGACGACGGAAAGTGATCAAATCGATGACAATATCCTTGTGGAAATAGTTACGATACGCCACTGCAAGACGGCATGCACGAATCACGTCGACAATGCTCTCACCGTTAACATGCAGCACCGGTGCTTCGATGCTCTTGACAATATCCGAGGCATAGCGTGTGGCACGTGCGTCGGGGTACGTCGTCGTATAGCCTACCTGGTTGTTTACCACAATGTGCACGGATCCACCAGTCTGGAAGTCAGGTAGTTGCGAAAGTGCCAGCGCTTCCGAAACACATCCTTGTCCAGCAAACGCCGCATCACCGTGAAGCAGCAATGCCATGGCGTTTGTGCTGGCATCACCATCGTTCTTGGCACGTACTTTTCCCGCCACTACAGCATTGATAATCTCCAGGTGCGAAGGGTTGTGCACGAGCGACACATGTACCTGTTTGTCAAGATACTTCTTGTTGGTTGTCGTGGCAATGTGCGACGAAACGTCGTCAATACCACGAAAATTGTCGGGGAACTCGGAGTTGCCGCGCACCTTGTGAAAGATTTTATGTGCAGGGTATTTCAGTGACCCAACCAACAGTGCTAGACGTCCACGATGTGGCATGCCAATTACGACGTCCGAGATATTTGACATTGTGCAAGCTTGAAGTACCGTTTCTACAGCTGAAAGCATGGATTCTGCTCCTTCACCCGAGTATCTCTTGAAGGACGCAAATTTCTTGGCCATAAAGGTTTCAAACACATCGGCACGCATCATACTGAAGTAAGCATTACGTAAATCAGCAGGTGATACTTGAATGCTTGACAGCGTCTCAGCTGCATTGGCAAGCCATTGTTTCTCCTCTATGGACGTCAAATACTCGAATTCAAATCCGATTTTACTGCAATAGACACGATGCAATTCATCATAAAGTTGCTGTCCATTGGCCGCTGATACCGACACGACTTCAGCCAAGTCTGTTGTAGTTAACGGACAAGTTAGTAATGGCTGAAACTTGTCAATGGTGAGACTAGCAACAGTTGATTGCGATTGTAGCTGTAACGGATCGAGGTCGGCCTGTAGATGACCGTATTGACGGAATGCTGTGGCCATGGACTGCACCGCCAGAGCTTTAAGATTCGGGGGTGACGAGAAAAAGGCCTTGGGGAATAGTACCGTGTTATTCATGGATTGGGTGACGCAATGGCGCTTTAAAAGACGTGGAAGACGCAACATGGAGACGTGTGATTAGTAGAAGGTGGAATGATGAATGTCGAATGATACTACCGTGAATCAATTGAGAGCTGTTTGAAAACAATTGGGTTTTATGAGACTCACTGGAACTGGGTGTTTTCAAGCTTTTTTCATGTTTGTTTGAAAGAGTCCAAGATGTCTGGGTGATGGGAAGCTCAAAATCCAAACGCTGGATAGGATGTTAAACGAGATGTCATACAAACATCAAGATGAAAGAATAAAAGCGAAGCGAATGGGGGAAAAAAACGGGCCAAAAACAAAGTGTTTTTGTCATCCTAATTGTCCTACTTATTGTCGTCCTAGGCTTCCTCTCTTCGTTTTCCTATACTAGTAGCACTAGGATTTGTGTTGATACTAAAGATGAGCAGGACGAATAGGCCCAAAGAAGCTTAAAGCAGTTGAATGTCGGATCACGTTTTGTCTTGAGCACACCGTCCCCTGTATGTCATTCATGATCCTACTGCTACATCTTGTTGTAATCTTGCTGTATAACGTGCCGTTGGAAGCTGTCAGACACGTTGAAGTAAGTAGTATGTGAAGTAGCTAACTTGCAGACAACCGTCTGGCTCATAAGTTCTTGCCTGCTTTACGCAGGATTCTCTACTAGATGTGCAGTCTGGCCGTAATTTATTCATGTTACCGAGCTTTATGATTCGATAGCAAGTATATGATGCTTTTGTTAATGACAAGAACGTTGTCTTGGCACTACATTGCTCTCCTCTGCCACACTTTTCCCATGCCTAACAGTACATCTAGCATAATTGAGCTGTAGGTCTTGCTCAAAGCTTTCTCATTTGAAAGGTCGTATCAATCAGTTCTTAAAGCGACACTAACCACTCTTACATATGAACGATATAACGATGCACACAATGCGCGACTTTTGTACTTGCCTTGTTAATGCACTTGCTGGTGCATTCCACGGTGTAAAGTTTTTACTTCTTGCTAGTGCAATCAATGGAATGAATCCTCCATTATGTCTCCATCCAAAACACATGATGAAATCGACATAGCTTGACAGTTAGTTCTCAATGCCATGTTTTGATTTGCTTTCTGCAGCACAAGCTAGTTCATCAGCACTCAATTCTTCCGACACGACAATGTGGTCAAGTGCAAGTCACGAAGGAGCTCAACAGTCTGTACTGGTAGCACTTGGTGCACTAACCGTCTTCTACACATCGTGGAAACTCTTGAGCGTGCCTTTTCCATTGCCGGATCCAGGTATGGAAACGCTTTTCCGCCCTACCTCGACATTGCCAATCCTAGGTAATACTTTGGATGTCTTGCTCTCTCGCAATCGGATAAGCGACTGGCTTAACGACCAGACCAATGCTAGTGATGGCCAGCCGTGGGTTCTTCAATTAATGTTTCAACCGCCTTGGGTTGTGCTCTCCATGCCCAACGACCTCAACGACGTGTTTGTCGATAAGTTTGACGTGTTTGAAAAGAGTGGAGCTCTTGAAGACATCTCGTTCGACGTATTGGGCTACGGTTTACTCAACGTCAACGGGGACAAGTGGAAGCAGCAACGTCGAGCTGCAAGCCATCTTTTTTCAACAAAGAGCATTCGTGATGTCATGGAGCCAGTGATCCGCAAGAAAACACTGCAGCTTCGAGACGTCCTTGCACAGTGTGCCGATCGTGGCCAGACAGTCAGTATGAAGTCACTACTAGGCAAATTCACTAGCGACGTTTTCACACTCATCGGTTTTGGTGTAGAGCTCAACCAACTTGGTGGAGATGTTCTTGTTGACAAGACGCACCCTCTGGACATTGCGTTGAACGCAGTGCAGAACCGTTTCCAGACTCCAATGTGGATGTGGAAACTTGCGCGATTCTTCAACGTCGGTGGTGAAAAGCGTCTTCGAGACAGCATGAAAATTGTCAATGACATGGTGCGAGACATTATGGTTCGATCTCTGAGTAAGACAACACAAGGAGAAGAGAAGAAAAATTTGTTGACATTGTTGTTGAAAGCCAATCCGAGTGCAAATCCGCGCGAACTGCAAGACACGGCTGTCAATTTCTTTATTGCCGGAAAAGACACGACGTCTTTTAGTTTATCGTGGCTCATTGTGATGTTGAATCGACATCCACACGTCCTACAAAAGATTCGCGAGGAGATTCAATCGGTGTTGCCAAAGCTTCTGACTGGAGAAATGGACGTACCAACCCTCGAGGACACGCACAAGCTCGTGTACCTGGACGCAGCAGTGAAAGAAGGTGTGCGTTTGCAGTCCGTTTCCACATATCGATGCACGACTCGAGATACGACACTCACGGATGGCGCTTTTATTAAAAAAGGAACTGTGGTAGTTGTGTCCAAGTACGCTGCTGCCCGACGCAAACAAGTGTGGGGGAACGACGCCGCTGAATACAGACCCGAGCGCTGGTTCGACGAAGCAACCGGGCAACCCAAGAAGATCACACCACCACAATTCATCTCTTTCAGCATGGGACCACGCAAGTGCATTGGAATGCGTCTTGCCATGCTTGAGATGAAGACTGTCGTGGCTGTGCTTTTCAGTCGCTTCGATATTCAAACTGTGGAGGACCCTTTCAAGATCACCTACGATTTCTCATTTGTGTTGCCCGTGAAAGGACCTTTAGCCGTGCGCGTCTGTAACCGCATCGCACCCTGCGTGTAAACTCCATCCAAGCAAAGCACATGTAGGCAGCGCCAACCATGATCTCAGCAAGTCTGCTGACCGACATCCACGTTTGCTGGAAGGTCTAAACTGTTACCTTTGACATTATCAATTCAAAGAGAGCGTCTTATCATTGTCCTGCTTGACTCTTTTGCACTACGATAGACGAAGACAGATAGGTGCGACATTGCCACGTATCCATACAGTTGTCTTCGTCTGTGCGCTTTAAATAGTTTCGTGATGACTCGCAATTTGCCATCATACATGCAGATCAATCAACTGTGCCAGACAACAAGACTTCCGAGAGGTGTAACATGAACATGATGAATATCATGCATTCTATTGTAGATGTCTTTGCCTTCCTTAACTTCCATACAATTCCATTCTCGTGTCGATTGCGCACAACACTTATACATCATAGGTGCTAGACATCTTACGCAAGACGTAGTTCAAAGTTTCTTACTTACGATGTAAGATTTTGTCCGCTCGAGACACCACTGGACCGAAAAGCTCTTATTCACGACGAAGGTTAATGCCCTCGCCAAGTTCAATTTGAGAAAGCTCTTCTAGCACTTGATTGCCCGCAAGAATAGGCGGATACTTTGCTACAGCCTCGGGTGTTGCGAAGTGTCCCAATGGTTCTAGCGTCTTATCCGATGCTGTATGCGAGAAAAGAGTAGACGATACACGCCAAAGGCTTTTGCCAGCATTCTTGCGCTGAGCAATCGTCTTAAGGGTCGAGTTTGCTACTACAACTTCATGGAAGCCTGCTTGAATGTGTCCGCCTGTCAAGTATTCCATCTGCTTGCCCGCCTGAACGAGTAGACATCCATCAGGAATCTTCACGGCCGTGCGTGTGCCATCGCGAAGCCAAATAAACAGTCCAGGAAAACGCGACTTGCCATGAATCGTCAGTAAATTCAAATCTGTAGCATTATACCACATGAAAAACGTGAGTGCGCTTATAAGCTCATATAAATGTTCACAAGTCTTCAACCGACCGTAATGATAAGCTGCCAGAACGTCATTCAGCTTGTTGTGCACGTTAAAGTTGCTACCTGTCGGTGCTAGCAAGTGTGGGCCGTATTCAAGATATCTCACCAGCGCATCATTCTCCAGACCAAGTCCAAGGGCAACAATCTCCACGACGTCTGCAATCGCATCAAGCATCTTTCCACCCCACATGTTCATGACCTTTTTCCATTCAAGAAACTGCTTGGGAATCACTGGTGCTGCATTTAGCTCGTCAAACTTGGTATTCTAGCAAAAAATACAGCAACGATGTATTCATTCGACTCGTGCCTTCTTTCATCACAAATTCAAACATTCTACTTTACTCACCACTGGACGTGCACCAATACGCCAAAAGAAGCGACTTTTCTTATCTGCCTCAGGAGGACATAGAGATACTGGAACAAAGCGTTTATCAAGCGTTCTAGCACGAGCACAATGATTACGAGCACGTTCCTTTCGCTCGGGTGTCACACCCACTTGATAGTGATATTCTGGTCGTGCATCTTGTATAAAATCTGTCGATTCAAAATATCGTTCCATCATATCCAAGAATTGGTCATTCTCATGATCTGCTGCTCGCTTTCAAAAAACAAACGTACAGAATCAGAGTAGCTCTGATTGTCATGATTACAAACAATTTGCTTCTTTATAGTAAGGTTGATTACCTCATCACGCACACAAAGTACACCAAAGCTATGTAATGATTCCGCAGCTTTCTTGCATATAGTCGTATCATGAGTAGCTTTATAGTGTTTCAGGTCAATTACAGGAATTTCGAGCATTGTGGAAAATGAACTGCAGCTTATGTTAGTGATTTAGAATTTAGCTTTTAGTATTTAGGTCAAAATTTGATCGTCGTGAAAATTTTGAAAAACTATGCGATGAGATAGTCAAAAGCTGCAATCATTTTAAAACGTGAGATGGATGTGTATTTATGATTCACAGCGTGTGAAGTAACGCAAAAGGATTGTGTTTGCGAGGCAAATCTATTTGTAGCAAAAAGTCCAAACTATAGCGTACAAAAAGCTACACATCTCACATTTAATATGTTTGCTGTAATAAATTACCAAATAGTTGGTAATAAAAATCAACCATGAAATTCACTGAAAACTTTCAAGCTCAAGCAAGACATGTCGTCAAGACCAGTCGCAAGCTCATTAAGTTTCTATCGTACTTCTCCACAACAACGTGTAGCTCTAGATGAATTCGAATTGCTTGGTAATAAACGTGCACAATTGCTGAATCAAATCAGCTCTCAATGGCACTTGCGGTCGACAATTCAAGGACGAAACAAGGTTGTGAACGGTATCGTGGCATTGGACGAAGTGGCACTACCTTTTGACGCTGATTTGCTGTCACATTACGCTTTACGTCTTGCATTTTGCAGGTAATGAATGCGTGCAATCGTTCTACTTTTACATGGATGGTTGTCATTTTGGTGATTTATTCTTGTGTACAAAGGCAGAGATGTTCGATTGATTGGAATTGGCTGATCACTGCTGAAGAAAAACTACTCGCTTTTCGTCTTGGCAACTTACCACCAATTGAAGCTATTACATTGCTACTAAGAGAAGGAATCGAGTATGAGAAGCTACTGAATGCAAGCAATTCCGAGCGTGATACAATGCAACAGGATATTTATCGTGTTCCGTTCACTGATGCACCTACTTTGGTGAAGTATCGCGAGGTGATTATCCATGACGGGTTCTGTCTCGTACCTCTATGTAAGATGAACATTGTGGCTGTTTATCGCTTTCGAAAGTGTCTCGAGGAACAAATGCACGACTTACACTGCGTTTTACCAGCGCAGTCACTAGAGTTGGAACGGTTATCGCCGATTCTCGATGGTTTTGTTGCGAAAGCTCGTGTTTCGGTTGGATCTATGACAAAAAAAGCTGTTAGATTGAAACTCGACGTGAAAGAGATCGACCAAATTGCTGAAAAGCATTTTCCGTTGTGCATGAAGCAACTGCATCGAAAGTTACGCGAGAATCATCATCTCAAATACGATGGACGTGTGCAGTACCGAATGTTTCTCAAAGGTGCAGGATTCTCGGTGCACGAGTGTATTCAATTTTTCCGTAGCGAGTTTATCAAGAAAATGCCAGCCGTCAAGTTTGACAAGGAGTACACGTATCACATTCGTCACAGTTATGGGCTAGAAGGTTCTCGAAAAGACTATGCGCCTTTGGACTGTGAACGCATCATTTCTGGTAGTGCGCCAAGTCATGGAAAATACCACGGATGTCCATTCAAGCACTGGGATCACATAACGTTGCAAGATGAATTGCGCCGCCATGGTCTATCATTGCAAACATCCATGGCGGTTACGCAACAAGCGTCTACAGGTCATTGTCAGAGTGCATGCAGAGCTTTTTTCGATGAAACACACACATCCACTGCTCGTCAATTTGCATCTCAAACGATACAAATATTTCATCCAGATACATCTACATTGTCGAATGGGATTTCAAGCACGAATCTCATTATGCATCCAAACTTGTATTTGAGCGCAAGCATGAGTACAGTGGAGTAGCTCAAATGGCTACATTCATGTGACTCATCCAGTTTGATTGGCTATCAGCTAAAAAGCTGATCAACTCAGATGGGTCAAAAGACTTTTCTCGGAACGGATGAACGCAATGGACTCAAAAGCACTGAACGCGGTAGTATCATCATCTTCCTTACCACTACAACATTTGGGTACACTTAATGCAACTAATTGTACTCCAGAGCAGCTTTTAGCAATGTTACATGAACTTCGTAATGCTGTTGGACCAAGTACGTACTACAACTATGAGTAATTGGTAGCTATTCACTTTGAAAGTGGTGTCATACCGTTTTCTTACTACTGTGCGTTGCTTGCTTGTTATTATATCACACGACAATGTCACTAGAGGTTGTAAATAATGCTATCGTAAAAGTGATGAAGCTACCATTGGAGAAGCTAGAGCAAGTTATGCCGATGGATTGTAGAAAGAAAACAGAGAAGCAATTGCTAAAACAAGAAAAACGGAATGTTGAAACTGGTGATAGTAACACGAAGAGTGTACATGTGCAGCAAAAGAAAAAGATAAAGCGTGAGTATAATATGAGCAATTACACGGCTCGTACCGTAGCGGTCAAGTTCTTGTATATTGGGGAGAAGTATGCAGGGTTTGCACGCCAGGACCATATGCCCGAAACGGTGGAGCGTTATCTACATGAAGCGCTTGTGCGCTCAAAGCTCATTACAAAGATTGACGACGCTGGATATTCGCGCTGTGGACGAACGGACCGTGATGTCAGTGCTTTTGGTCAAGTTGTGGCACTACGCGTGCGGTCGAATTTGCCACATACTGCGGAATTGCTCAGTGCATCCTCAATTGATGATGTGCATCCTGGTGAGCAGTTTCAGGTGCGGTTGGCGACGGGAGAAATTAAGACACTCACGGAAGTGGATTACCCTTCGCACATTAACCGTGCACTACCGGCCGATATCCGAGTGTACTCTGTAGCATCTTGTCGTCCCGAGTTTAGTGCTCGATTCAACTGCAAGGCACGTATGTACCGCTACTTCTTTGCGCGACGTGATTTGGACATCGAGAAGATGCGCACAGCTGCACAGTACCTTGTCGGGAAGCACGATTTCCGTAACTTTTGCCGCATTGATCCAAATTGTCACGTGTATGAGCGTAATGTCAGCTCGTTCAAGATTGTAGAATGCTCAGGACAGCGCGCTGATGATACAAGTCAGCAAATGTACTACTTTGAGGTATTCGGCCGTGCATTTCTGTGGCACCAGGTGCGCTGCATGGTTAAGGTGCTGTTTCTAGTTGGCTCAGGAAGCGAGGAACCTAGCATCATTCCGCAGCTGCTGGATATTGCGCAGACACCGCGGAAGCCGCAGTACAACATTGCCCCTGGATTGCCACTTGTGCTGCACGACTGCCACTTTGCTGACCCGGAAGACACAGAAGTACCTGGTCCACGTTTTGAGCATACTCCGCTTGCCTTACTTCAAGTGCATGCCCAACTTACACAGACATGGGAACAGCGTTGCGTGCAAGCGGCGATGCTGCGTAGCCATCTCGATGCACTGGAAGCGTGTCAGATAGATGCAGCTCGAGTCGTAAAAAAGTTGGATCACTACGCACCAAAGCTGGAGCAACTGATGCGGCAACGCAACCTTTTGACGGACAAAGGTGGTATAGTACAATGGAAAGATGTGATTCCTCTACTCCCGTTGTCCAAGAAACGGAAGATATTACCGTTGATGAAACGTGACACAGGTCACTCTGTCGATGAGTGCAAACTTAAAGCCCAAGAGCGCAAGCGTCGACGCGTCGAGGAAGAGCAGAATGCGATGCAAACATCCGAAGAGGTTAAGACGGAGAGCCGGGAACACGAAGTCACGGCTACAATATCGCCTTGATGAGTTACTAGACGATGAAACGATCGCTTTACACGACTGAGGAGCGCAATACATGCTACGTTTACGCAACACAGTTGAGCTTAGCTTACTTGTCAAACACGGCGTTGAACGACGAGTTTTGAGCCCCATAATGTTGAGAATTCGTCACTACGTAGCGTAAGCTCACGCTGGCCAGTCATTTTTCAAGCGACCTTTGACGCAAAACAAAAAATGCCACTGGTGTCAGTTTTAACGAAAATTGGAGATGGTGGCGCTGTTTCTGATAGAGTCAAGATGAGAAGGCATGGTCCGTTACGATCACAGCTCGCCAAGCCTGTAGCTTTTGTCAACCTTGTTAGCGGACAACACAAACGAATAATATCAAACAATTGTTTCTTTGGTAAATACTGCAGTCTAGATAAACTAACTAACTAATAGTACACGGGATTGGTGCTCCGCTTGCAGCAGCGTTGTCTTTTTCTATAGTGCTGCTACTTGTCGTATGTCCCTTGAGCCTCAATTCAATGGAAAGCAAATACAAAGCAAACTAAATGCTCACCCAGAGTCTGCAGCAGACGCCACTGCTGCCGCCGCACGTTTCTTCTGAGCTTCTGCTGCCTGTGCTGCTTCGATAGGCGTCACAGGTACAACCTCTTGCTCGTCCTGGTTGAAGCATACGATAATAGCGCTAACGTTGTCTGTCGATCCAAGTGCAATGGCGTGGCTCACGAGCTCCTCTGTCACATGCTGTACATCTCCGTGTAAACTCAGCTTATTGCGTACAAAGTTCACGACAACCTGGGGCTCCATCACATCGAATAGTCCATCGCAGCCAAGCACCATGAACTCGTCCTGGCTCTTGATCTCGTGAACCACAAGGTCGGGCATGGCACTAACTAAATCTCCGTTGAATCTACTCTTGAACTCTCCCCGCCCGGTCTTAAAATCAATGTCTCCAAAGGCACGAGATACGCCAAGCATGCCGTAGATCCTTCCCTTAGAGATCTTTCCTTTAGCTGCAAGGATCCGATCTCGTTCACTAGAAAGCTCTGGTGTGTGGGCAATGCACATATCCTTGGCTTTTCCATTAGTTGACAAAACAACCTGTGAATCTCCTACAGAGGATACTAGCGCCGTATTGCCTCGGATTACAACCGACACTGCAGTCGATCCACTTGGCAATTGCTGTTTAAAAATTTCTTCATCAGTAGCTGTACATGCTGTCCGAACAGCATCCATCAATACCATTTCACGTGGCTGCAAACTCCTTGCAGATTCTGGTTCATTTGTAGACTTTGACAGATAATGAAAGACATTCTCGTGAAATGTTTGTGCCAAAAATTCTGCTACCTCCGGTCCTCCATGACCATCATACAGTCCAAAGAAAGCTACGAGGTCATTCTCAATCATCCGTGATGTACTGGTATGTCGATCTTCATTGTCCTTGCGAATGCCCGTATCCGAGTAAATGCCATAACTTATGCGAAGTGCTGGGAAATACTGACCTGCTCGTCGATGTAAAACCAATGTCCGCTCCGTATCTGAGGCAGTGGTAGCAGTTGAAAAGACACTACCACTTGGACTAGCAGGTGAACAATGACTGGCTGAAGGTGATCCAGCATTCTCATGAACTTCCACCGTCATCCCTCGCTCACCAAAGATGCTAAAAACATCACGATGGGAGTCACTAACCGGTGGTCGACCAGCACCAACACCACTTTCCTCACGAGTCAATTGTTTCGATGCTGCTTGAAGATAAATTTGATTCAAACTAGGCCGTTGCTCCGTGGAACTGTCGGGCAGAACGTCCTTTGACGTCTGACAGCCCATTGAAAGTTTTGGAAAGCGGATGGTTGCTACTTTAATTCAGTCGAAACTCAAGGGAGTTTCGGCGACGTGCACGAGGCTTCTCTACAGGAATCGAAAAAAGAGAATGAAAGCACACAACTGTGTATCAAAATGTTAGTTTTTGAGTCAAAAGAAAATGTCACTTGGAGAATAGCCAAATGGATTAAATAGAGAACACGTAAACGTCTCTTCTTTCTCTCTCTCTTTCTCCTGTTGCTGGTTATTGTTGTTGTCATTGGTTGTTTTTCTATTGCTAGCCATTCAACCTACTGGAAGTACGCCATATATAAAAAACGTACCAAAAAGGTGCAACAGGAAAAACAGGAACAACGCGTGCGGATAGGACAATGAAAAAAAAGAGTAATAGGTCGTCGAATTTCTTGACACCAGATGCGGGAGATAGGGCTGAAGGAGTTGTTATTAGATTAATAATAAAGGAACAACGGGTTTTTCAATGTATGAGAGTATTTAATTCTCCCTTGTCACTTGCTTGCTTGCTTGGAAGGTTTCGTTTTTTTGAATGAGACTAGAGTAAATGGAGTTTTTCGTTTATCAACTGCACGGTTGGCTTGAGCAAGCAAAGGCCGGAAGAGCCAGTCGGCCAATCGCGATGCGACGCCTGAACGCACTGGGTGTCTGTCTATATGGTACAAAACCTCTTCACCAATCTCTGTGTGTGTCTGATCGCTTTCGTATAAAAACTGTTAGATAGTAATATATATATAACACACACGAGCTCCCTGCTCGTTTCGGCGCAGTTCGTTTTCCTTGACTCACTTTTCAAACAACCGACACTGTTGTGGTCTCCGAAGGCCTGTGAAGGCTAAAATAAACTTGTCTGCTTTTTTCTTAGTAATTCATTATGTAGCTAGCACATGTCGCTGGTGATGGTCAATACGTACTGTTAGCAACACTTTATTGCCTCGTCTTGGACACAATATCCAAGCGCTCAAAATTTGTAATCGTCAGTGCAACTTGAGCTTTAGTTGACGCATTCGTAGTGACAGTGTGTGAATGTGTGTAAGTGCACATATACAATGTGAGTTACACCGATTCCATGGGTGGTTCAAGACAACTTCAATATACGATGAAACGGACAACCCTCGATGATAAAACTCCTAAAACTTTGTTTTGAGCATGGGACTGTTCTTAATGTCACACAAGACGATGCCAAGTAGCCTTTCAAAAAGCCATGAGACGCTAGAAACTTGTTGCAACATGAATTTCGTGCCCTTGCGTAATCAGACGCACGTGCGTGTTACTGCCTGCTATCAGCTGCAGTGATTGGCGGAACAATGGAGCCCCGTATACCAGGCTTGCTTCAATGTAAATACATGACATTGGAGCACGAATTTAATGATGGTGCTACCTTTGCGATGGTGGCGGGGGGCAAGACGATCGTCATGAGATCTTTCGAACAAAATATAGTCGGTTCTATCGAAGAGGGACGAGACAAATTATACTCAAAACTGCAGTTGTGCTTGTTTCGACTGGCGCGATTCTCAGTTGGTCTCAAAAATCAATCAATCGATCAATAGGCTGTGCCTGCATTTAATCTTGGTCACTTGCTTGGATTTTTGTGTCGTTCCTGACGTCGGAGCCAGGCCTGGAGCGATGACAGGTGTCCTGGAACGGACAGCGATCTTGGCGTGCGAGGCAAATCAGATCTGTTCTGAACGCCACAGACGGCGTTACCCTGGAACCTGACGCCAGAGCGACTTATTGGGTAGCGCCAATCAGTCACAACCCCGAGCCCTGTCTCTCCAACATCAAAGGGTGGTATGTCAGGTACCGAATCTTTTAACTTGCAAAATGCCAAACCTTGTCACCCTAACTTCAATGAATCAAGTGACGCGGGAAACGACTGCTCGTCATGATGTCACCGAAATGACAGACGACCTGTATGTAGGTCGGTGTAGGATACGACATAGGATTCCTGAAGCCACTTGAATACAATGTGCTCAAGTAATTGTCGAAAGGCGCCGCCGCTATTTGTTTTGACCCCAATTGTACCATAGAACTCTGTCATCAGTCGGCATACGTTTGGCAGTTTTAACTTGGCATGGTTGCGTCGACACCGCGCTATCGATAAAGCTGCTTAACGGCTTGGTCGTGGTGGGTGACATACCATCTTATCATTGTGTCATGGCCTGCTTGCGACCGTCACATGTGCTGTATGACCAGAAACATCAAGGATTTGTAGTAGCTATTGTACCGGTATTGTCACGGTACTTTCCTAAAACTGCATTTCAATCTTAGTTTGTACTGTTATTTTTTGCAAAGGTGATTTTGTCGTTAAGCTCGAAAAATACAATATGTAGATAATAGATTATTAGCGTAGTATACTACGTTTGCATATGAGTATCAAATAGCTTTGAGAAAATAGTATTGCAAGTAGTAAGATGTCGGAGCTGATTGGCAAATACCATGCTTACTCAACTCAAGCTTAGTGTGGGCACCGGTCATCCAGTCAAATTAACATGCAGCCCGGTTCCAATCCGTACTCATTCTTCAACTTGTACCTAATGCAATACATATTGCTTTGTGTCTGCTTTCTTACGACCTTCACCACGTTCTCGTTGATGTAAAAAATTCCATGCTAATACTGAAAGCCGGGTTGTCTTCAGATATCACCTGACGGATGTGGAAGCAAAAATGTATTCAAACGCTACTGAGAGAATATCTCCTTTCGTCACCTGTCTTCTGACACATCCTTTATCACCTGTACTGTATCCTGCAAGCTCGCTCAGTGTTCAGTCCCCTTACATGGACGTGAAGCTGCTCATAAAACGTATAGCATTGCAAAACTAATTGTAAGGTGTTTGAGGTTGCAAGCACGTTCCTTCTTGAAGGTCCCATGTGCATGTGACTATAAAACCTTCCAACATCTTTTTCATACGTATGCATTCAGCTTGTTACCTCAATAGTATTAGTAGCTTATGTCAAAGCTTATGTGGATGCGGCAACTCATTAACTACCGTGTCACTTGGTGATAAAGTGAAGTCGATGCATGATGAAAAGCTCGGCATGATATCTCTGTCAAACACTGAGGCGGAGAAGTGGTGGACCTTATTCAGCAATGGCGTCGGATGCAAGGACAAGTAGCGCATAAAACAAGACGTTTGAATATGATATGACAATAGATGTATAAGGTTATCTGTAACAAGTTGAAAAAATGGGTTTCCTCATGGTGCTACGTGGCGGTAGTTTAAGAAAACGGATGAACGCGCTCAACGTCCGAAAATGCCTTGGTGTCTACTTGTTGTTTGCTTATCTCTCTACTTCAATCATACGTACATAATGTCACTGTCCTATAAATAGGCTTCACCAGCATCTTTACAGATCGCATACTTGTCTACAAAAACTTACAACATGCGGAACGGATGATGACTGTGACGTATGTAAAAATTTTGTCGTGATTAAGAGTGATGTAGGTCCTGCTACGTAAATTAGAGTAGGGCTGCTTCTGCAAGGCCTTATGTATTGCAGAATGCTTTGAGCTTTGTGTTGTCTACGAAGCCTGTTCTACCAATACAATACGCGTCACGGCGACGCTATGATTTTTCTTGCAATCTTAGGCACTACAACCGTGTTTGCGGCAAATGTCAATTGTTAGTGCAGACAAACGCAAACCCTTTCGTAGCCGTCGTTGTTGCTTGCTTGATGAAGCAACTTGATATCAACATTGATGACAGTAAATGCTGATACCGTAAGTTTCATAGTAGACAACGAATTTTGCGTGTTCGAAAAGCAGAAGGCACAGGCAATAGCTAAAACGGCACTCATGGAGAATGTCCAAGCGAACACTCATACGAGCATGCTAATTGCAATGACAAAAACAGTCGTTACAATGCTGTAGATGAGGTCGACAACAATTACTCAACGCAAATTAGCGTTCACAATCAAGAACTAGCCTTTTGATATTCTGTCGCTTTAATTCTGGCCAAGCAAGTGGCTCCGTTCAGGTAGCTTGATTATGCTTTGTTCGTGAAAGCAGAAATGGTTCCGCTGAAGCCTTCAGTCTTGCTCCTTTAATTTCGTTGCTCACTCGTGTCAACGCCACCAAACTTTCCCAGCTCTTCGTTAATCGCCTTCATATCCTTAGGCTTGAAAGCCATAGCATCGATCTCTGGTTCAACGCTACCTACGAAAGTAGGGGCGGTAAATGGCAATCCAGATACGATAGACGAAAATATCGACGGCGGGACTACGCTTCCCAGAGCCGTAATTGGGTTAGGAATATTGTTTAAAGGCGTGTTGGAAATCGCTTGTCCAACTAACGAACCTGTAAGTGACGTTACAGCCGAAAACATCGACTGCAGCCCTACACCGGCCATACCAACCATATCATTCAGCTAAAACACAAAAAAGATCAAAACACAGTCGGTTAATTACACTAATCTGTAGCAGTCTGCAGCAACGCAGCCAATGCACTTACGTTCTGGGGCATGTCTCCAAGTTGAATCGTTTCGTCAATACGGCGGTCCAGGAATGCCCATGTGTCTTGAAAATTTGTCGACTTGTCGTTGAGCATGAATAACTCGGTGCTGGTATAAACTCCCGCGAGGATAGCACGTTTGGTATACCAGGACATATCCGTGGATTTGTCACCCGCAAAGTACCAAATTTCATCTGACAGCTGTGCCAGTCTTTTTGCAGTGCTAGGTGCGTTCTGTGGCAAGGCACCAAGCGCCATGCCCTGCGGCCACGAATCAAGTACTGGATTCAGCATTTCAAGACGTGTGCGAATACCAAACTTGAGACGTTCTGCCACAGTCATGGCCTGTAACTTGTCCGTATTGATAATCAATGTCTTTCGCAGCTTGGCAAGACATGAATCCATAAAGTACTCCACGAGATCAAAAGCTCCACGCGTAAACATACCATGAGCAACTGAGGGATAGCCAAGATCCATTGCACCAGCTGCCACAGCATCAATGGTCCATCTAACAAGATAAATACAATCATTAATATCCTCAAAGAAACCATTTACATATGGATATAAGACAGCTTCTAAGAGTCCATTCAAACCGTCAGTACACAAACGTACCCATATTTTGGTACATGATTCATGGCTTGGATTAGAATACGTTGCTCTGGGTCAGTGGAAGACTCATGCTGAGCCGTTTCTTTATGAGAAGCCCTTGTATGTGTGCTATGAAAGCGAATTGAAGCAGCTGCAGGTGAAGACCAATGAAAACATTGACGTTCCATTACGGACGAGTACATGGTACAAGTGACACTACGTCTGCCGCTGCTACTGACAGCAGCAACGAGACGCGCGGACGGACGGATGAAGTTCATAAGCGTTATGATCGCAAGCTGGAAAATGCTGTTGCATAGGCACTCTCTTGAGGGTTAGTTCTGACAAGAGTGACATTGTTGAAGAGAAACTTTTTCATATTTTTCCAAGCAAAGAATAAGTTTTCTGAGACTTTTTCCTAGAAAAAGTGACACACAGTTTATTATCATTTGATGTGTACACACTGCACTTCAACTGCAAAAGTCTTCAAATTTGATATTGCAAATGTGATCACTTTTAAAGGGTGAAGGAGACCGTAGATCTCCTTTAATCTATGAATGAGGTTGCATCACTTTGGCAAGAAAATGCACTGCAAAAGGATATAAACATCGTCTATATACCGATTTCCATCGTCTAGTTTGACGCAGTCAGCACAGCCATTGGTTCAATAAATCCGTGATTGTACAGATCATAGATGCACTTTATGCGGTGCAAAAGGCATTGTTTACTTGACTAATAGCTGACTAGCAAATAATCAAATCTTTCTGTCTCAGAGAGCGCTCTGGCTATTGCCACAAACTGATCGGTAAGGCAAATGATGCCGATGACGTGTCTTTGTTGCATTGAGTCGAAGCCAATCCAGTCTCTCCCACTTGTAAACTGACCACAATATCAATACTGCAAAGACAGTGTCAAGCTGAACGTGTCACTTGTAATAATGCTTGACAACCAAGTACCTCCGTTCTCACTCGGTAGGAACAAAGTGCTCTTTTTCTTGTTATTGTGATTGTTACTGGATCATATTCATTAGCAATATACCACGTATATTTACCGAATGTGCAACATACATTTCTAACAATTGAACGTTATCAACTAGATAAACCCCGTCATGATACGTCGACATACGTCGGTCGATGGTGTAAATTTGCGGAGCTCATGTCGCCAAAGTACGTGAAGCTCGGGAAGGATTACGCTTTGTATAAAAACACCTTGAGCTAATTCTAAAGCGTGTTGCAGATGGCTATTGCTAAGCTCGGAACAAATTCAATATTCAAAGCAAATGCTTGAGGACTTTCGCAATGGCGAACTATCTCCTGGACACATCAGTGATGCGGAGCTATGGTACCATCGTCAGGGTGCGAACAGCTCAATCTTACTCGTTTTTAATTTGATATGCATACTCATTACATTGTACATTCTTGCAACTGTTAGTATACGAAGCTGCAGTGCATCCTCAGACTGGCGAGACGATACCGGCATTGTTTCGACTATCGGCTTTTGTGCCTGTTAACATTCCTATCTGCGTTGGTATGTTGCTTGCACCGCCCACGGTACTTAATTTTGCTGCAAGGTGCATTTGAAATTGCATATAGTTTACTGACCTTGTGTTCAATTGGTAGTTGAAAAACACGATCTTCTGGCAATGGATTAATCAAAGCTACGGTGCCGGCTTTAACTATGCAAACCGTAACGCCAGCAGTGAGCAGGACAATTTGACCATTTTGAGTAGGTTTTCGTCGATAAAACTTGAAGCTTGTTCCACTGAATCACCTCTAACGATCTATGACTGCTATGCAGAGTCGTACGCAACGGCTACGGTTGTATCATGTACAACGGCTGTGGGTCTGGGCAAGATGGTGAAGAAAGCTAAGCGACTGTCTCCGAGCACGCGCTCTTTCCTGGGAAAAGTTAGTACATAACGTTCCAAATCGTCAAAATCTTGCCCTAACGCGGGTTTTCCATTGTAGATGGTTCCATTTGTTGCGGTTGCTAGCGCAGGAGCATTCAACGCGGTGTCTATGCGTTTCAATGAGTTCCGGTATGTTGGGAGCGGAGCGGGTGAGAGTCTTGTAATCGTTTTGCTCACTTTCGATGTTGGTTCACAGAGAAGGCATTGATATCATGGATGAGCACGGAGAAGTTCATGGACGTTCCGTTGCTGCTGGACGTCAATCGCTAGGTCAGGTGGCTCTCACGCGGATTGCACTTCCAATGCCAAGTAAGTATGATGTTGTGGATCTGCAATTGTTTGTACTGATTCTTTGTCTCTTCATTTGATCAGTTTTGCTGCTTCCGCCGTATCTGTTTGGCGTCATGCAAAAGAACATTGTCATGCCGAAGGGCAAGTACTCTAAACTAACCGCCGAGCTTGGTACGTACATTGCTTCGTTAATACTCGCTCGCATAATCCCAGTTTAGGGCTAGATACTGACAGAGCTGATGTCTTGTGTCGACGCATGTATCTTCTACAGTCGTGTTGACGTTGTGCCTATGGGGCGCCATGCCGAGTGCTGTCGCTCTCTTCCCGCAAACGGGCACCATTTCAGCAAGCAGCATTGAAGAGGAGTTTCAGTCTCGGGTGGACCGGCATGGCCAGCCCATTCGCCACTTCATGTACAACAAGGGAATCTGAATGTACAAGAAGCGTCCGCAAACAGAGGTCAGATGTTTTCTGACCATGAAGCACTGCAGCTGATACTTGTAGGCATGTCTACCAATCTGTGTCAAATGCAGTAGAGTCATAACTATGAGCCTCTTTTGACAGTAGCTAGCACATTATACTTGTTGCTACAGTCAATTGTTAAGCGAAATACCCTTTCCATGCTTCCTTCTTCCGTTTGGACTGGGGTATTCAAAACCAGTCAAATACCGGTATCATGTAAACACATCGGGTAAAGATAGATCCTCCTAATTCACGATAGCGTCCACGAAGATTAAACGTATTCATCCGGAGTGCATTAGAGCCCCACCTCCCATACTTTCTCTGCGTAGGGGAGCATTGACACAAATTGTATATACTGAATGAGGGGACAATGTCGTTTTTGCGGTTATGGTTGCGAAAGTACTTCTTCGAGGTTGTCGTATTGATCATACAATCAGCGTTGATGCGTGTGTTCTGGTTTGCACTCATCAGAGGTTCAAACAATCCCTGTAGGACCTCTGCTATATTTATTTTCCAGTGGTTTCAACGTTAGATGACGCAACGCTAAAGTTCTTACTATGCCGCTTGGTCTTCGAAGGTTTGCTACAAAAGACGTTCCGAAAGCACGTCTTCACCTTCTGCAAGCAACGTTATTGATGTCAACCAAGCATGCTTTAGCACCACTAACCATTAACCACCATAAGTGAAAGAGAATTTACTTTACGTAACTCGCTTCGAATTTCAAGCGCTTTTGCTTTCTTTCTACGTGCCCTAATAGCAACAGTGCATTCGTCACGGAAATGACATGAGCGTAACGCACCAACTGAACCTCATACTCCCGAAAACAGTCTTCTTGACGTAATTGAAAGCAAAAAATATTTCCACTTCTTGTTGGATTAGCTTAGTAGCGGCATAGAGTAGATATGCATCATAATGCGTCTTTAAGATGCCTTTCTACTCCCTATTCGATTAGAATTGCAATGGGAAAACCGCATACGCACGTTAATGTTCGCAGATGCCAGAAACATAGCTTTTCTCACTACCTACCACCTTCACCACTCCAAGTGCACGGCATATCGACCGAGTAATACTGTAGAGTTCTCAAAGAAAGTTTATCTCACGCATCTTAACGCTCTCAGCCGCGTTTGCTCTGGGGGGGGGGGGGGGCGCCCTCATCACCACAACCAAAAAAACCAACCCCAAAAACAAAAAAAAAAAAAAAAAAAAAAATATTTATTTTTTTTTTTTTTTTTTTTTTTTTTTTTTTTTTTTCTTTTTTTTTTTTCTTTCCTCTTTTTTCCTTTCCTTAATAATCAAAAAAAAAAAAAAATAAAAAAAAAAAAAAAAAAAAAAAATTTTTTTTTTTTTTTTTTTTTTTTTTTTTTTTTTTTTTTTTTTTTTTTTTTTTTTTTTTTTTTTTAATTCTTTTTCCTTTTTTTTTACTCTTCCCCTTCTTAAAAAAAAAAAATTTATCTAAAAAACAAAAAATAATTAAAAAAAAATAAAAAAAAAAAAAAAAAAAAAAAAAAACCTTCTTATTTTTTTTTTTTCTTTTTCTTTCTCTCTCCCCACCCCCCCCCCCTCCCTCCCTCCCTTCTTTTTCTTTTCCCTTTTTCTTTGTTTTCCGTGTTTTTTTTTTTTTTTCTCCCTTTTTTCCCCCCATCTCTCTTCTTTTTTTTTTTTTTTTTTTTTGAAATTTTTTTTTTTTTTTTTTTTTTTTTTTTTTTTTTTTTTTTTTTTTTTTTTTTTTTTTTTTTTTAAGAAAAAAAAATTGTTTTTTTTTTTTTTGTTTGATATTTTATGTTTTTTTTTTTTTTTATTTTGAAAATAGTATTTTTTTTTTTTTTTTTTTTTTTTTTTTTTTTTTTTTTGTTGTTTGGTTGAAAAATATTTTTTTTTTTTATTTTTTTTTTTTTTTTTTTTTTTTTTTCACACCGCCCCAACAAAAAAAAAAAAAAAAAAAAAAAATTTTTTTTTTTATGAAAAAAATATTTATTTTATTTTTTTATATTTAAAAATTTTTTTTTTTTTTTTTTTTTTTTTTTTTTTTTTTTTTTAAATTTTCCTACCCCCTATTTTTTTTTTTTTTTTTTTTTTAAAAATAAAAAAAAAAAAAATTTTTTTTTTTTTTTTTTTTTTAATATAAACACCACCTCCTTATAATTTTGAGATAATAGTTTTTTTTTTTTTTTTTTTTTTTTTTTTTTTTTTTTTTCCTCCCCCCTTTTTTTTTTTTTGGTTTTTTTTGAGTTAAAAAAAAAATTTTTTTTTTTTTTTTTTTTTTGTTTTTTTTTTTTTTTAAAAAGTTATTTTTTTTTTTTAAGATTGTTTTACTTTTTTAAGCCTGTCTTAAACTAGCTGCTACATCCGCCGGAGAAGTACATAATTTTTTACTGGCAACATGGAGCGATGGTTGCAATTGGATTCATTGTTTGGAAAAGCTGAGGGAGAATTAAACGAATACACAATGTTATTATACTATATAAAACAAATGGCTTTGCTAATGAGAGGTACATGACAGGTTGTTTTACAGCGTTTGAGACAAAGCATTGAGGTGTCGTAGTACAGAATTTTACAGCTAAATTGTTTGGACATAACGGTCTAAATTCGAGCAATAAATGAAAAAATAGATGTCCTCCCGCGGTGTTTTTTTAGCGACTTTTCGGTTTGAGCTTTGTCTTTTTCAGATGTGTAGTATTATTGGTTGCAGATAATTAAAGACCAACTCCATTTTTCTACCATTTTAACCATTGGTTCATTCCCATTTAGAACATTCTCTCTGTTTCTCTTATTAAAAAAAAGAATATGCCAGTTCAATGGTTATGGCGAAGCTTCTTTGTGCAATTGTTGGTGAGAAGAAAGCGTGTTTACTGTAGATATCGACGTTAATCAGGTAGTGGCCGACTTGAAAAAGGCGATCAAAAACAACGAAACCGAACGAGTTAAAGAACGTCGATGCAGACAGGCTGCAGCTTTTTCTGGCAAAGGAAGACGAAGGCGTTTGGCTATCGGACGAAGAACGTGCTGTGCCGGGTTTAGGAGAAGAAAGAAGACATTTGGAAATTCAAAAAATGGTTAATAGAGAGAACATTAAGGCGACAAAAACTCTACAGTACTGGCTGTTCGACACATAAAATGCCTAAGCCATCAAGTGACCAAATTCACGTGCTGGTGATAGTTCCTCAGCCCAAATCGGACTGGAAGTCTGTCTTACAGAGGCCTTTTCCGTATGATCCCAAGGATAAATATGTATCTCTTGAGAAGACAGATGTATATGACTTTGGAGTTTCTTGTGGCCAGCTAAAGCTGTACTGCAGGCACTCTTTTTATCGGCAAATCGATTTCTTGCGTGAAGAAATCCTGGAAGAAAAACATATTGGCTATGTTTTCGGCTAACGTGAAAGTCAACCACTGCTCTGTTTTTTGCGTTAGCTGTTGACAGGATCAGATGGGATATTATCTGGATTCACGTCGAAGGTAAAAATTTTAAAGTGTGTGCATCTGATTGGACAAGAGCGAAAGACTGGAACTATTCGAATTGCGAAGTTAACGGCATTGCTGGAATCCAATAATGCCAAGAAATGTTTTGTGCTTGGCTGGACTTATGAGGAAATTGGAGGAGATCTGAAAGGCACGTACTTCCTATGGTATACCAGTGCAAATGTTCCTGGAGAGAAACGACTTGTTTTATATGCTCGGTGGTCTCTCGTGGAAAAGCTAGTGTGGATTGTGAGTATAATTGGAAGATATTGGAGCATCAAGTTTGGTCCTGGACATTGGATGAATACCTTAATGCAATTAATGACAAGCAACAATACATCGTTGATTAATGCGATGCAACAAGTAATAAAGAAAAGACGAAAAAGTCAACTTGACGATCCTTTCGATAATCGCGCCCTTTTGTTGGAGACCAAGTATCACTATGCAGGAGGGTCCCTGTCGATGTATGTTTCAGTATACGACGGCAGAGGTGATTTAGCAGCTGAATCGTGCTATCATAACGCTACCTAATTTTAGAACTGTGACTCTTTCAAGTGGTTTTCGATCGCCTCTTATCTTCAACCCCCTGTTTGCGTTGTTCGAATGTCATACTCCTACGGTTTCATTAGCCCCGCTGATTAGTCGCTATGCTGCAATTCAAATTGGAATCAAAACCGGTCCGGATGAGATCAAACATTTTTTTCAAGTGTCGACAGTACTTGAAAAAAATGTTTGATCTCATTCGGCATTTAGTAGATGGATGTTGGAGATGGCTTTTTATATCTTTACGACACGGCGGTCTCGGAATATTCAATGAAAGAGAAAATATTGTTGATAAGTGGGAGTAAGTTACTGTTGTGGATTCAGATAAAGTACCTGAACTCAGAACGATGCCCCTATTTGGATTAGACCACTTCAATGGAACCAAGGTGGCAAAACGATGCTATCATGGTGTGTAAGCAAACTAGCTTTGTGAGGATGGTACAAGTAACTTGTGCAAGCACGCATACACTTCGTATCGATTACTTCTATTCGTGGTTGAAGAAGCTTTTGGAAACGAACGAAAGGTTTAAAGTTGACAAACTGGAGATTTTGTTTGTTGTCGTTAGAGACAACCTACAGAATTTTGCAATATCGAATGTTACTGGTCAAGGACTCCTGGAAGCGTTTGGTTGGGGAAAAGCACCGAGATTAATCGAGTACGTATAGCTGGGATGTGAGGGTTAAATTGCTTCAAATTGTAGTGCAGTCTACTTGGATGTGCCACCTTCCGTACACGCTGTGCAATCGGCTTTGCATTACCCACATCAATGTCATGTATAGCTCCTCGAGATGCCAGTAGTAAGGCATTACCCTTCCCCACAACAGATGTCGTCTTCTTCATATACTCTGTCGCAGTCGGTCTACCTCTTCTAGGGTGTTCCCATCAGGGTCAGGAATCTGTATATCTTCCAGCTTAACTACTTTTGTGTGAAAGGTCCACCTCCGGTATGATAGCCCACTCTTGGCTTACATCTTCTGCCCAGAGCTCCCCTCTTTCGAACGTGCACACTTAGTCATCCGCTTGCGGTGTTTCCACCAGCGGCCCTTCACCCTCCTTCGTCTGGTCGACTTTATTGGGCCTCGACCGGGGTGACATGGCCATCACTGGAGAAGTATGTATGAATGGCTTAAGTTCGTGGACGATTGTAGTCCACCAGTATCGCCAATTGGTATTGCTTGAGATATACGAATTGAAGAACCTTGACGGGATGCTGAAAAGGGCATAGAACTGTGCTGTGCCGGATGAAACACCATACCAATGAGTCTCCACCGTTGGTCCTTCGTCATTCTTGGTTGAGTCGACCTGATGGTCTACCTGGTCTACACGAGGGTTTACCTGGTCGATCTGATTGTCTTTTGCTGGAATGACATGTTCATCACTGGAGCAGGTACCCTTGGTCGCTGTAGTAGGCCGGATGGGATATTGTACTGTGGTGTCTCCACCAATGGCTCTCCATCCTCCCTCGTCAGGTCCACCTGATAGTCGACCTGATTGGTAGCAGATTCATACATTAGATTCAGCCACTCAGCGTATCTTTGAGACCTTACCGAGACAAAGCACTGCGCCCTTGATACTTGGTCATTGATCAACCACATACCAATCTTGGCGTCCTTGTGTAAGATCAGGGGTTGGGTACTATCATTTATTACTTTCAGGAACTTCCGACTTCCTACCCCTTGGTTCACGGTCGTGACCCACCATTCTTGCCTTGTGACCCACAACTTACATTGGTGCGAGGTCGACCTTTTCAGAGGAACTTCCTTGTACCCTCCGGTCGGTATCTGCACGCATCGACCCAATTTCACATCTGATACCTGGTTATCGTAAAAGGTCCTTCGTCCTGCTAACTGGACTCGAACCTCATCGAGAAGACATAGTGTCCCATCCGCCAGGTCTAGTCGAATACCGGCTGAGACCATGAAGTCCATGCCTAAAATTGCATCCTGACCCATCATCGGGCCCACCCAAACCTTAAAAATGTATACCAAGTTTCCGCTCAGGGTGACCTTGATGCGGGTACGTTCTTCCGTGGTATACACGGATTCCCCGATACCAACACTTCCTTGTCGCTCACTTTCGTCAATCTGGCAGCCTACCTTACGAGCAAAGGCGATATCCAAGATGGATATCTCGGCGCCAGTATCGAACAACAAGTTAGCTCGATCGTTGTTAATCTTCCCAGAGGCCTTGGCCTGTCCAAACCATTTCGTAGGAGCATGGTATTTCCAATACTCCCTCGACTCGCCCGGCAGTAAGTCCAACTCCATACTGCACTTTCTTGAACGAAATCGTTAGACGCACCGAAAGAAGCAACATGAACCATAGAGTAACTTCCAAACTTTAATAAACTTCCAATCGCGTTATCTTGTGTGCCCATTCTTTCCTTGGGCTATTTTTTCACATATGCACACATCTTACACCTGTGAGCTGTAACCGCTTGGGTTAGGATGCAAAAGGTACTTGAGAATATGGACAAATGCATCTTCGTTGCGGAAGAGATTCCTCTTTGGGATGTTTCATTGGGAAGCGAGAAATCCGGGCAAACCTTGTCAAGGTCACAGCCATTGTGAATTGGCCGTTTCCAAGGAACCAGGAGGACCTAAGTAAGTGGTTGGGTTTGGAAAAGTACTTGCATCTGGATGTATCTTTTAAAAGGTGTTGCGTTGCAAGTCCAATATCTTCAGCACATTGCAGCAATCCCTCGTGACTCCGATGAGAAAGGTCGGAGACTCAAAGCGACATTGGCAGCACACTTCAATATCGAGGAGAATCTTTTGGGAGTAGAATAACAGACTTACAAGGTAGAAAGTAGTTTGCAAACTAAGGACCTGCCTGATATTCGTCCATTTTAGTACTTTTTCACTCCTATCATCACACTTTGAGTTCAATCTCGTCAGGCTCCGTGAGATTAAGTTGTTTGTCACAAGTTGTGAGAATAGTAAACGCTCGTGCGATGTAGTGTACACAAGACTTGACTTCGCATCAAGCGACACGGAAAAAAGTGTTTGGGAAAAAAGATACATGTCATGAGCCGGTCATTATACTGTTCTGTCGTACAGTGGTGTGCTAATTTACAATGAATACTCGATGGTTGTGGGGCTGCTATCGAGATCACGACACCGGAGATCAGCAGGATATTTCAATAATGTGACAATTGGCAAAATCGACTACGTGTGTTAATTAGATGTAACAAAGCGTGTAGTTAGTCTGTCGGTACGATTGCTGGACAATCTTATCTTACAATCGTTGAGCAAATCTTTATGGTAAAACGATTTCAAGACGCCATACGGCGGTATTCCTATCACATCAACATCGTCCGGCATCAATGACAATATTAAAGACTAGACTACGAAGACTGCTAAGATGCAAGATATGAAGATGGGGTGAGTGTCTGGATCAGTGGACAATATTGTACGCAACGCGGGTTCCACCATGCATGTAAAGAGGTACTTGCGTGGTGATCCGGATATTGGAGACACAGAACATTTGGTACGTCCTTTGGCTTGACACCTTCCTGCATCCTTGTGTGTAATGGATGTTAAGTTCACATTTGCATTGAGAACAGGTCTGGCTTATAACCACGTAGCGAGCACCACCAGTTATGCTCGGATCTCGTTGGAAGACTCATGACGAAAATTATAGGCTACACATCTGTGCGACTTAAGAGAGCGTAGGCCAATGGCGATCATGGTCGCATAGAGAACAAGCACAAGAAGGCCGTCGTCAGCGAAGAACTACCAGTTTGCACGCTCATTATGCTTCCATCGAAGGGGTAGTGCGAGGCAAAGGTGGCATAAAGTGCTGCTATAAGCGACGGTGCAGCAAAGCATCCGAAAGAAGGGTACGAGGTACATGTAGCAGCGATTGGAAGCTGCTGCCAAACGCCAAGAATATTGTAAGATAATATGACGAGGTGGGCCTAGTGGTATCAGAAAAACAAACTAAACAAAACCTGTTACGCACTCCTACGCAATCAAAGACTTCAACACATCTGCTTGCAGTGCAATTACTCAATCTAATGCTGTACGTCTGCTACCACAAATTTGAAGAGCATAGCGAATATGTAAGTCTCATTGTCTTTGTTTCGAAAGGGATCCAACAACCATATGGTCAAATCTTTAGTCAGATGCGTATGACTGTCAAGCTTCACATTTATATACCGCTGCAATGAGTTTGCAGGAGCTCTGATCTGGCAACACTTTGTGTGTGAAAGCTACCGATATCCAATTGTGTAGGCAGACGAAGTTATAGAAGAGCGCATATGAGGTACCCTGAGTGAGAAGTGCATTGTGGCTAAAACGAATAACTTTGAAAGTGCTTGCATTTCGAAGCAGAAACGTATAGCTAGAAGCGTCTGGCTACAGAGACGCGTGAGAGACATGCGATCCACACGTCGTAATGAAAGCGGGGAGCAAACAATCTGCAGGCACATGCACGACAGTATACGGAATGTGTCCTGAGAACTCTGATGGAACTCCTTCCGCCAACCTGTTTCCAACCTCACAGGAGAGGGTATGCATTGAACTTTGACTGAGGACAAGAGGTAGGAGGTTGGCTGTTACGAAGCCCGTGGTCACATTGAAAAGCCTAGCACGTCTCAGATGATAGCGTTGCTGAGTATTGCACCAGTCACTCACTAGCAAATTAATCGACTAATTTGGAAGAAAGCGGTGATGTTATTTTGAGTCACTTGGGTCGCTTCAATATTACTAAGCAGCCTCTATATCTCGAATGATCATTTTTAAACTTTACGAAACAATTTGCTGGGGCGAAAGAACAACGAAGCATAGTCATCTTTGACGTTCTACGATCGTGTGGTGCTAGGTGGGTATGTTTCTGGGTTGGAAGCTAGGGCCTGTTTCCATCTCTCGAGTGTCTTAGTAGCTTCTGTAAACACTTGCTTGTCTTCAATGCGCACTCGAACTGCAAATGACAGGCGAGGATTTGTCTCCACCTCCAATTCAGCCAATATCGCCTCGTCTTCTTCAAGTCTATAGTTTGCACGTGAGAAAGTGTTTGGTTAGTGAGACAGACGACACATTGTTCATACAGATCCTTCACATACGTTGTTAGATAGCTCGCAAGCTTGCGGCGGCACGCATTCTGAAGGTTTTCGTATACTGCCAATTCATTGCGAGCGCTGATGATCGTCGATTCAAAAGCCTGCAGAGCAGATGTGTGGCAATGACAATCCTGTTAGTGCCAAATCTGCTAAGAACTTGAAACACACGCCAGCTGGGAATCAACATACCGTCTTGTACAACTGAATCTCCTGTTTGTCCATCAGAATCACGCGCAGCGTAGCTAGCAGCCTTTCATCAACATCATTCCTAAAGAGGGTGCCGCAAAAGTCGTACGTTTGCTCACTGGTAAGCTCGTTCGATTCAAGAACAGTTTGCTTCAGCTTCAAATACGGATCCGTCGGTGGGATCTTTATCCAGAAATCCACCGCCCGACAAGAATTTTTGGGTGCAATGAATCCGTACGAATATAACAGCTTTGCGTTTGTATACTGCCCATAGCTAATGCACAATGCAGATCCAGCCGTTACCGCTGTCGGTACATGATGCGTCATCATGTGCTTCTCCTCGTCAAACGAAACAAAATCATCCAGAGGGTTTTGCAAGCTCACGTCATGGTTGAACATGTCCATCGCTGGACACAGCACACGCAGGTATTTCTCACCCTTACTCACGCCAAACGCGCGACTCCAGATCACACTCATCGCCCACGTATAGTCTTCCAGAGTCAGCATCGGTCGTGACGCAAAAATATCTGGAAAGTCTTCAATCACTGGTTTATGAATGTTTTCGAAGTCTCTCTCTAGCCGGTTCTTCATTAATTGTGTTAGCAGCAGCACATTTGTGCCTTTCAGCTCGTTTAACTCTACATCCGACCAGAAGACAGGCAGATCGAACGTGGTTGGTAACGATGCAATATACGGTGCAAAGAATGACTCAATGCCTTTGTTTCTCTCGTGCATCAAATGCATGGCCAGGACCTCATCGTCTGGAATCCCTGGGTATTTCTTAAGCACAGCAGCAAGTTCCGATTGGGTGGCAGACTCAATGTTCATCGTGAGTTTAAAAGGAACTTGCAGTGTCACTTGACCACTGGTTAGTGACTGCTTTGCAAAAACACCGTGACCTTCAGAGGTATTTAGATATCGAATATCTAACAAGTTGTTTGTAGTTCCATTGGATTCGAGCCATTCGAATAGTGCAGTAGTCACAATAGTTGGTGAGCTCATGAGGAGCTCTTGATATAATGTGAAAACTCATGGTTGGCAAGGATATTAATTATCTGAGGTGCATACAACAACGGATCTATGATGCTTTTAGCAAAATAGGTAATAATTATTTTTTCATATAACCCTTTCGTACCATTTTTATTTTCTACTTATAATAATAAGATTGCTAGAACAACCGATCACCGGTGGTCCACATCATATACGTATTTCTATTCTATTTCAAAAGCATTTCATTTACTCATTTGACTACGCCATGTCGTTGGCATTTCTATCTAAGAAGAGTTGGCATACAGCGAATCTCCGCGTACGTCATTTGCTTCAATCGCATCTATTTCTTGCTCTTCATCGTTTCTTATTCCTTTACCTCTTCTTCTTGTTGTTTTTTGTGTCGTTTTGTATACCAATTGATCTTGTTTTTCTACCTTTTATATAGAATGTAGAAAAGGTCTGGATTGCTGAGCAAAAACACGCGGCGGAGGAGAAGAAGGTTGCAGAGCTACGTAAGAATATTGAAGAAGAGAGACAGTTGCAAGAATTAAGACAGTTACAAGCAGATCAGGGCAATAAATCGGCAGCAGTAGAGCGCGTTGATTGGATGTATGAAGGACCGTCTGCTGGTCGAGAAAAAACAGCTGAGGAATTTTTACTGGGCAAAGAGTACAAGGGAGAAGATGGAAAGGTTGCTACTGGGGATATAGACCTTAGTACTACAACCAAGTATGGTTCATTGGCACTGACGAAGAGTACGTTGCCGGCCAACGATGCCTTCCAGCGGTTGAACGAGGATCCGATGATGCTCATTCGTAAGAGACAACAGGCTACTCGTGAAGAGGTACTGAAAAATCCAGTCAAGATGAAACGAATTAAGGATCAAGTGGATCGTTTGAAAGAAGAAAAGAAGATGCGCAAAAAAGCCAAGAAGGAGGCCAAAAAAGAGAGGAAACAGGCGCGGCGAGATGAAAAACATCGACTCAAGAAAAGTAAAAAATCTGACGACGATAGTAACGTTAATGTTAACGAGAAAGAGGTGACGGAACATTGTCGCGAGGACTGCCATGATGGACATCCTCGAGGGTATGGTCGTGACCGCGAAAGTGGGAAATTGCGCTTAAGGTCAAGATCGATTTCGCCGGTTTTTGCGTACGGCGATGACAATCTACACCGTAGTCATGCGTGTCACCGTGAAGGAGAATCGGAGCGCCGTGAGCGCAGTTCTGTTCACCATCGATCAGATCGCTTGAATTTAAGTCAGCACGCCGATGAGCGTCGACGCGAAAGGAGCTCGTCTAGAGACCAGCGTAGTTCAAAGGTGGCTTCTCGAAGGCGTTGTCGTAGTCGCAGCCGTAGTCCTCGTCGACATAAACAACGGGGCCGCAGCCGGAACCGCAGTTCTCAGTACGGCCGTGACGCCTTTGGCCGCGATAGACCTTCACCGCGACCAGTGGACCGCTTTAAGGATCGCCGCGACAGAACATCACCCAGAGAAGAGCGTAAAAGGGATACAGGCAGACGTAACGAAGGTCATCGAGACATAAGTCGACCTCGTAGTCCAGTGGATCATGCCGAGAGGCATCGCTCTCGTAGTCCTGTGGAACGCAAAGAGACCCGTCGCTCTCACAGCCCGAGCGATCGTCAAGACAGATTCCGTTCTCGTAGCTCTGGTAAGCGGTACAAAAAGCAGCGTGATAGCACCACTTCTAAACTCGACAGCGCACGTCGGGTGCGAAGCGTCCGACAGCGTAGTGGGTCGAGCGAACAAGAAGAAGATTCGAGCGAACAAGAAGAAGATATTGTGAAGGTGCAAGGGCGCGAGCAACTTCACAAGAAGGTAGAATCAAGACGCAAACCCGTGGATATTGAGGGAAAGTATGGTCTTATTAGCAAAGCAGGTGCCGTAGAATCGAAAGATGTTGATAAGACGTCATTGGGACCTAACAACAAGTACTTAGCAAAGGCTCGTGAGGCGAAACGGCTCGAAGAAAAAGAACGTCATCGTAAGTTAGGCAAGTCGTTCCGAACAGAATCTCGTGTGCTGACAGACGAGGAAAAGAGGAAAATGGCCCAGCAGATGGTGGAAGATGCCAAGCAGCGTGAGGAATACATTGTGAAGCGTGCGGCCTTGAAGAAAGATGAGCTGGACAAACGTGAGCACGAGGCTACGAGCGGCAACCCGGAGTTTTTAAGGTGGGGTGCTACATTGATTGTTTCAGATGCTACGGTGGTGTCTAGATTGATTGACTTTTTTCTTTGTAGGAAACTGCATTCGGAGGCATATTTGAATGATGAGAGTAACATGAGCGACCGGCTGCGCAGAAATGCTCACTACATCCAGAGAAAAGCTGACGCCTCCAATTTCCTGTCAAAGTAAGCTGATGTAATGTGCATTCACAAAATGTTAACACACACAAAGCCTTTAGAACAAAGAAAAGTGCTATTTCTCTCTTCTGGTTACGACATTGAAAGAAATTAACGCGAAACATTTGGGCCTGCATTGCGACAACATGATCCGCAATCTCCACCAGATTCATCGGTCTACTGGTGTTTTGTTTGAATAGTCCGTCAAACATACTACTCAATATCACTCATATCACTGACATCGCTGTCTTCATCCTCATTGCCCATTGCAATCGGCTGCGAGGCGTAGTTGCGCACATACTCTGCACAAACAACAATAAACCCAGGAAGATAAAAAACAGTATTCAGCACGCCGTCTTTGGTACTAACTGCAGTACCAGTCTCACATACCTTCCACTTTTCGATTGAACGAGTCGGCATCCTTCATCAGCAACGAAGCCGCCTCACCATTCAGCGGATCACTTGGATTTGGATAACGAAGTAGTTGAGGAATAAACATATCAAAAATATTGACCAAGTCTACGAAATAAAAAGCATCTGGTATTAGTCTCATATACTTCATTTATATATCGATAAACAAGACAACAATTGAGACGACAGGCTCACCAAACATTGGGCTCCATGTTTGGTTAATTACATCCAAACATACAGATCCCGACCTAAGAAAATTCACAAGAAGAAGAAAGCGATACAACACCTTCATCAACATTCATCATCATCTTGTGTGTTTAACAAATTGGAACAAGAATGAATATCAATCAACACACGTTTCATCCACATTAGGGTGATAAATGCGGTTACTAAAACCAATTGAAGGTGATTTGAATGGATAATCCTTTGGTAGTGTCACGTGAATCTTCCAAGATCCTCCTTCGTACGGAGCTTTAAATATCAAATGACACCAAACTCATGAGAAAAAAGAAAAAGATATTGCTTGTATGAAAGTAACTAATACAGAAAATATACTACATACTGTCCTTTGGACCATGAAACTTGACATCAAGGTGATTTGTCTTGGTCTCATCCGTTAAATGCACTTCATAGTCACTCATCATGCTGGACAAGACACCAGATAATGTCATGATAATAAGCAAAGCTCACTTTCATTTGATCCTACGTCTAGCAATAATACTTGCAGTATCAAACAATTGCATCAATCATATACGTACAGCTTCATTACATCTGATTCACGTCGTTTATTGCTTTTGTTCATGTTTGTAGTTACTTCACAATATGATTCTTTGTCGTCTTCTTCTTACGACTCTTGGAGCTTTTCACAATATTGCGTGTTGATTGGATAAAATGAAGTAGTCGGAGGTCTCATTTATTTCATTTTATCTTGATCTTTGTAGCAAAGACACGATTCTCTTGGTATTCTCAGATTTGTTCTTGTTTTTATATAACATGTCGTTCTATCGTAAGACTACTAGACTGTGTTTCGTCACGTAATCTTGACAAAGTATACATACAATCGTGGCAGACACTGAATTTATTCATCATTTAAGCTTTCGTTGCTGCTTTCGTCGAGCCTTTCGGTCTTCCTCTTTGTCGTTTTTTCGTAGTTTCAGCTGCATTTGATTTTTCAGCCACACGTTTGCTACCAATGCGCTTGGATGTGCTCACTAATCTTTTTCTAGCTTCTCCTGTCATGCGTGTTGTTGGAGTGCTTGCTTTCTTAGACACCAGTGTTGCATCAGCAACACTATCAGTTTTTTCTTCCTTGGACTCAAGTTTTACACGTCGCCGCGGCGTGGGTGCACGCACGTGACGCAGTTGCATACAGGAAAATGGACAGCGTTCAAGTCGAAAGCCAGTACCATCAAATAGTAACAGACAATCAGTCTCCTTGTGCTCCACCAGTTTTCCCTTGAAATTAACGCCTCCAGCAGCTCCAGTTGATGAGCTCATGAGCACATTCACACCGTTAGAACTATCGACACTCACAAGACCAGGCGTACTTTTATCCACTGATGCAGGCTGGAATTCATAGCCGAAAGACACGAATACATTATCAATTGGCTGTTGATCCTCCTGTACCTCGTCATCCGTCTCAGTCAATGACTTGCCAAGTACTACAGGATATTCATGGTCATCTAATGGAGTCAGCGTAGTATTATTCATTTTTTCTTGTGATTATATCGATTGGCTGGCGAATCACATATTTTAGCCAGTCGGAAGCAAGTTGAAGGGTACAGTGTACCAATCTAGCACGCCAGTCTTGGGTAGGGCAAGTAATAAATAGGGTAAGTTCAAACTGCGACTTGCAATCCTTGTTATCTATGCAGCCCTGCCAAATCCGATACAGCAATAACAATAAGACAACCACTCGTGCCTCATCAAACTACATACCCTGTCCAATTTACTATCATCATGAATCACAGGATTCCGGCGTCAAGCTCCAACATGCTGAAAGTTGGGTCGTCTTTCGCGTCGTCGGCTGCTTGCTGGTTCTATTTTAACGACCATTGTTGCATTGATAGTTTGACTAAACAATCAGCCACAAAAAAGTCGTGTGAAGTCCAGAAAGTGAGCCAAAACTCCAGTCCAGTCATTCTTTAGTTTTCATTGTTCAAACAAAACCCATTGGTTACAGTTTGGACGGTATTAGTATTCGTGTCTGTGTGCTCTCCGTGTCTTGAGTTTCTTACGCTCTCTCTCTTTACTCAGATCTTATACGACTGATTTGATAGGTGTGACTTGGAAGTGGTTTCACACCAGCAAGTGTCGTTCATTGATATTTATACATTTTTTGATTCAATTACCACCTCATTGCACCACGCGTGAAATTACAGACTGCCGTTAATCCTGGATAGAACGGAGCATTGAGTAAGAAGTTGACTTGCTGACAGTCGCCATGGGACTTTTAGGCACAGTCACACTACTGGAGATCAAACAGGTGCCAAATGGTAACCGAATTGCCTATTGTTTGCCATCGGGCGAGTTTATCTTTGTAGCAAACACATGTGCACCTGAGTTTGGTGCTGCGAACGCTGCAGATCTTTACGGTGATAATTTGTTCCAGTTCTTAGCGCTTGGAGATGCCGAAAAGCTTGAAGATTATTTACGACTGCAGCAACTGGATAACAATAGTGATCAGGCCTTTACTACGACACAAGAGATGCGCATGGTGGTGCGTCTGCCGAATGATCCTAGCACACAATTGTGGATTCAGCTGTCGACGATTCCACTCACTCTGCGGATGATGCGGTGCATTGACACCATCCGCAGCTTTAGCACATCGCTAGGTCATTTTGCGGACTCATCTAGTTTTGTGCTTTCGGAGGACGAGTTTAGCTCTCTATTGAGTAATCCAGTGGAACGTACGGGGTCGTCGTTTGCACTGGGTATTTCATCCTTTTCGGCTGCACCGTTGCTGTATGAAGACGACGACGACATGATGTTTTTTGAGTCAAAAAGCAGTTGCTCGTCACCGGCGAGCTTCACTTCCATTGTACCTTTGGAACTGAAGCATCGTCATCCTAATTTTGCAATGGCTCGTATTCATGTGGAAGATACTGGAACCGAGGAGACAAGTGATGACGACGATGAAGATCTCAGGGCGTCACTGTCGAATTTGGCATTTGAAGCCGATTGGCTAAGTGAGACTGTTTCGGACGACACGGCACACGTCATGATACCAGCAGGATCGATCACATCTTCATCGACAGCTTCACTTCCCATGGCAACGACTCCACGTTTTCGAGCTGAACTCGTGACTTAGGTTTCACTTCAATTTTGTTACAATGGATTGCGTTTTTTCCGCATATGATACCGCTTTTTCTTTTCATTTGATTGAACTGCAACAATGCTGATGCAATTGCAGTATTATGATGATAGCAGACTGCTACTATCAACATGACCGCGTAAAACGTTATTGACCTTCAGTTTTGATAGTTTTGTGTGTATATATAGTGAAAAAAATAAAGCACTATATTCGATTATGGTACATTATCGTGTGAACGTAAATGATTGCAGCAAGTAGGCTGCACCACAATTCAATTCAAAATAATTGTATAAAAGCATCATATTCATTCATTCAACTCTCGTGTAAGTGCGATTCATAAACCAATTGTCATTAGAATAAATAAAAGCCAAGCTAGCAGCAAACCATGAGCGTCGTTGAATTACCATCAAACGATATTCGTTTCCAGATGGAATTAGAATTCATTCAGTGCCTTGCAAGTCCTTCGTATCTGAATTGTATGTGTATTATTATCCTCTCTTTCATACATATACAATATGTATACTACTATGAATCATACACTGATCTTCTTACTCTTTTCTCTCTTTTTTTCTAATAGTCCTAGCTATCAATCGATACTTTGAGAATCGAGCTTTTATGAATTATTTGCAATATCTCAAGTACTGGAAACAACCAGAATATGCAAAATACATTGTCTATCCTCATTGTTTGGCATTTCTTGATATGTTGGAAGATGAAAGATTTCGTCAAATGATTGCGCGTGAGGACTTTATGACACTAGTACATGGTCAACAGTTTTACCATTGGCAGACTTTTCTTAATCACCGGTCGGAAGGAAAACCTCAAGATGCATATGTACTAACAACGACGGCAACAACAACAACAGCAACGACAACGACGACATCTACAGCTTCTTAGAGATGAATTGACCTATTCATTTATAGGTTCATATTTTCATATTGACAGACAAGTTTGAAGATTTGGAAAGAACGGAATGACGAAGGTATTAGATGAGGAGTTTAACATGTTGTCTTGAACTATTACATGCATAGCTCAAGCGTGCGTGGACAGAAAGGAAAGGAAGAGGATCTTGTGGCTACGACATATCGTCGTCCTTTGCTTCTCGTTAGACGCTTTCATCCTGTCTTGGTTTTGCTGTTTTTAAAACAGCCCAATGACTTTACCCGTCTCAGTGTCCAGGTCGACGTCGTAGAAGCCTGGACGTGTGGGAAGGCCGGGTACTGTCATCATGTCTCCACACAGCAGGTAAACAAAGCCAGCACCTACCGAGGCCCGAATGTCGCGCACCGTGATGGAGAATCCCGTGGGTACACCCTTTGCAGTCGAATCTGTACTCAAACTCAGGTGCGTTTTAGCACAGCACACTGGCAGCTTGTCGTAACCCCGCTCGGAATAAACCGCTAGTTTCTTCTTAGCTTCGTCGCTGAACTCCACACCGTCAGCACCGTAAATCTCCTCTGCTCACACGCAAAAGAATTGTAGAGTTAGCTGGGTGCTTAACGAAGAGCAAATTGTCGAGGGTGCGGTCGTCAACACGCTAGGACTATGAACGTACTGCAGATGACTTCGAACTTTTCAGCAATGGTAAATTCTAGCGGGTAAAGGAACTTGAAGTGACTGCTCTGTTCACGCATTTTCTTGCAGGAAGCAATGACAGCACAACCCAACTTCTTTGCTCCCTTGCCTCCTTCAGACCAGTGGGTACTTTCGACAGCAGCCATAGCACCAGCCTCCAGTGCCTGCTGCTTGACAAGTTCCACCTCACGTGGCGAATCAGTGGTAAACACGTTTACAGCCACAACTACAGCCACGCCAAACTTCAACGCGTTGCGAATATGGTGCTGCATGTTGACGCAACCACGCTTTAGCATCTCTAGGTTCTCCTCAACGTAAACTGGATCGAGCTAATTAGACAGAACGAGGTAAAAACTGTTGCGTGAGATAAAGTATGGTCAGAATGGTGCTATATCAAGAAGCGTACCGGTTTACCAGCAACCACGTTGGGTCCACAACCATGCATCTTTAATGCGCGGATCGTGGAAACAAGCACCACACATTGCGGTGTCAGCCCACTGGTGCGACACTTAATGTTAAAGAACTTTTCCATGCCAATGTCAGCACCAAATCCACATTCCGTGACTACAAATCCGTCCTTCCCGGCAAGCTTTAGCGCAATTTGATCAGCGATGATGGAAGAATTACCGTGAGCGATGTTGGCAAAAGGCCCAGCGTGTACAAATACGGGAGTTCCTTCCACTGTTTGCATGAGAGTGGGCAGAATAGCATCCTTCATGAGCACTGCTAGAGCACCACCAACACCCAGGTCGTCAGCCGTCACAGGCTCCCCTCCGCGGCTCATGCCAATCACAATGCGTCCGAGACGTTCGCGCATGTCCTGCAAGCTCGTTGTAAGGGCCAAAATGGCCATAATCTCACTGGCCACCGAAATGTCAAAGCCAGTCTTACGTGTCTGACCCTTCTCGGCAGGCCCAGCACCCACGACCACTTGGCGCAAGAAACGATCACATGTGTCCAAGACGCGCTGCCATGTGATCGTTTCGGGGTCGATATCAAGACGAACGAATTTGTGGATCTCCTCGTCCGTAAGGTCTTCAGGCGACAGCTTCGTGAGTCCAAGTTTCTGCAAACGTTTCAACATGACGGGCGAGAATTTGCGGGATCCGTCCTTGCCCGTTGGACATAAACGGCCAAACAAAGCCTTATCCGACTGCGCGTTCTCATGAAACATACGAGTATCAATAGCAGCAGCCAACTACATTGTAAAAAACGTTAGCAAGCAACGTATCAGTCAATATACAATCACAATCCACAAACTCAGCAGCAGCAGGTTCTTACAAGGTTGTTAGCAGCAGTGATAGCGTGGATGTCTCCTGTTAGGTGCCTAATTTTAGCCCAAGCAATATGCACACAGGGACCATATATTGTCAGCACCATCCGTGATTCACACGATTCTTCCTGCCAGATTGTTTACATACAGGTTGAACTCGTCCATGGGAATAACCTGGGCATAGCCTCCACCAGCAGCACCACCTTTGATACCAAACGTCGGGCCCTGAGATGGTTGACGGATACAAGCAAATGCCTTCTTGTCAAGGTGCGCGCCTAGTGCTTGGCACAATCTACAGTATTGTCAAACAGATTACACCACATGATATCATGTTTCAACAAATATATATGCAAGCAATCAAAAACTCCTCAACGATTTTACCCGACAGTAGTTGTACTCTTTCCCTCGCCCAACGGGGTTGGAGTAATACCCGTCACAACAACGTAATTGCCATTTTGTTCGTCTTTGAGACGATCACGTACGCTTAACGAGATTTTGGCTTTAGTCCATCCGTATGGTATCACCTCCTCCGGTAGCTACACCAATAACAACAAATACCTATCAATCAATACAAGGAATGACTAAAGATACTTAGAGTGAGATGAAAAATTTACGATTCCAGCGGCTTGAGTGATTTCAGTGATACTCAATGGTGCAATAGCATCACTAATAGCGATGTCAGACGGCACGGGCGTCAATATCTGTTCGGGTTTAAGCTGGCGCAGCATTTTGGTGGAAGGGGCGAATGCAATTTTGTATTTTGCTAGTCGTTTGATGCGACCTGTTGCTTGGATCAATGGACAGCGTGCTGTGAACTATGTGACGTAATGACTGGCCAATAAAATGGCACATGTACAAGAAATAGGAATGCTAACAATGCTCCTTTGTGACATTGCTGATGATGACCTTGTCTTTAATGAAGTTTCTAGTAGGAATACAAGGGAATTGAAATGGTGCATGTTAGCAGCAAAAGGCGCATGAGAGAGAATCGAACTCCTGCCAACTTTATGGCCTGCAAATTTGATGTCTGCACTCAGCACCAGCCAAGATCACCCCTGCATTATAAACTGCGTTTTATGATTCTATGTACCTTTAGCTTTACGACAATCTAACTACTGTAGAAAGGTTCATCACGTGGAGTGATCTAGCTGCTGATGCAATTCAAGCCGTTATAGTGTTGCAAGGCCTTCAACACCTTCAACAAAAACTTGCATCAGTTTAGAATCGATCTTTATGTGAAACAGAACTTTGGTGCAATTGTATCGATTGTTGAGCGGTTTGCTTGTCAGACTTGACTTTCAGAGCACGTTGACAAACTTACGACCGCTAACATATTTCTATCAAGCTCCACCGTGTGGTTGGTTATTCATCTCGGTTACGTATATAATATTATTTGAGCTTTACCACGCCCAGATACTTCCGTAGAATCTCCGACAACAAGTTTGCACAAACCACATTGGCCCGCTAGCACGTTTGTTCAGTCAAGACATGGCGCAGCCTACGCAAAAAATGATTGACCACATCTAGATGAAATGCAATAAATGCAAAACCAGTCTCGAAATTTATCAGCAACTTCCTCATTCTTCTTGGAAACTACAGAGCTGCTCATTATCGCAGACATGTCCACGTGGGACGGGTGGTATTGGCACGTTAGATTTCTCGTTTGTCGACAACAGAATTTTCTCTAACTGCAGGATCAACCCCAGCCTTGTAAAGCTCATTCGACAATCTGCGCTGTTGACAACACTCTGTCCTACAAGACTCAATCACAATGATCAAGCGTTTCGTTGCCCTTCTCCTGGTGGTTCTGGTTGCTATGCTGAGCTGCGCTCATGCAGAAGATCCCGCTGCAGATTCAGCAGTAGAGACTAATCCTACGGAGCAAGTTCCACCCGGTGTGACGATGACAGGGGATAAGGAGCCATTGCCGATGAACAAGGAGCAGCTTGAGCAGCTTATTGGTGGTGGAGGTGGTTTTATTCCGACGGGAGGAATCACATACCGTTGGCGCTACACATACCCATTTGCTGGAGGTTTTCGATATGGTTGGCGCTACCCGATTGGCTACTGGAACAAATTTGGTCGCTCCATTTTTGGGTCAAATTGTGGTTTCGGTCGTCCATTTGGCGGTTGGTTCTACTGTTAAGCGTTGGAGTTTTTTTTTGACTGCATCCAGCTGCTAGAACATGGCAATGGAACTGTGTTGAAGGCAGCAAGGAAGAGGCAGTGAAAAAAAAGAGTGGAAGGAGGAGAAATGAAAGGCCAGACAAGAAATGCAGCAACGTCCATGACGTGAGATACAGTGGCTTTTGTTTGAAGGATTTTAATGAGTAGCGTACGAAAGAAAATAGGAAGTAAAGGTTTTAATGTCAAGGAAAAAGTCGAATTGATTTTTGTGCATCTAAGTTACTATTCGGTGACAGTTTGTTATGAAATCTCGAGTTGATTGGAATGGATACATGTATATTAGTTGATTCTTTATCTACTATTTCGTCTGTATACTGTATACTTTTATCCAATCCTATAGCATCCGCACGACCAATCCACTCACACTCTTCGACTTCACTTCAGTATCACAATGGAATCTCTCATTCAAAATGAATTGATGCTCAAAAGTGGCGATATAGTACCGACGTCACAGGCACTTGCTGGTAAAAAGATCATTGGTCTCTACTTTAGTGGTCATTACTGTCCGCCATGTCGCAAGTTTACTCCATTGTTAGACATGGTCTATACGAATATTAAGGCCGCTGGTCATGAAGATTTGGAAATTATCTTTGTCTCATCGGACAAGGACGAGATGAAATTCATTGAGTATTATAACGAAATGCCATGGATTGCTTTACCATATGCACGTCGTGATCTGAAGCTTGAGCTTTGTGAAAAATTTGGTGTCAAGACGGTACCCACTCTTATTTTTTTCAATGAAAAGGGTCAAATTGTGGAACGTGAGGGCCGCTACTTTATCACGGATCACTCGAATGATACGGATACTATCCTTGCCCACCTCCGTCAGGAGAAGAAGGAGTAGAACTGATGATACCTACCGATGACCATTTCGTGTTTAGCTCTTCTTTGCTGTTCACTGGTCGGGACTTTTTGTTTTTTCGAATAGCTAGCGATTCAATGAATGACCCAGAGAGAAAGTAGTGATTCTTCCATTCGACTTTTGTAGGTTGGTAGATGACTTCTGTTAGATGATACAAGAAAGAAATAGAAGAGAGATGGCTGGAACAAACGCATCGTACACATGAAAGCTCAACTTTTCTTTATAACAAAACCTCAATTCAAAATACTTTCAAAGTAGCCGGAGTTAACAACGGCCACAATGGAAAAACCCGCTCCGAACCTGAGCACTTTGTCGGCTCAGTTACGAGCGGGTCGTACGGGGTGGAGATCTCACACTTCTTCAGAGATTCTCCTAACCAAACTGCATCCTCGTCTGCAGTCATGACGACCATTCGGACAATTTTCACTGTCATTTCCTGTTCGTCCGGCCCAATATTTGGACTATTTAACACCTGGGTACAAGATTTACAGGTTGCAACTCCTTGAGGACATCACAAGGGACGTGCTTGGACGCTGGAACATCAAAAGAAGCGGTTTTGGACCCTTCTGCAATAGCTTCATCGCTGCACCAAACCCCATCTTGCTGATATTGTTGTTGTTAATACTCAGTAGAACATCACCAATTTCCACACGGTTCTTTTGCGACTCGCGCGTAACAGCACCCTCGCTTTTCACGTTGATCACGCGTGGATAGTAGCTAGTGCTCTCCTGCTTCACAACAATACCCAAGGGACCGTCCTCCTCTTTCCACGTAATGTAATACAGTGAGTGATCGTTCTTTGGGTTCATGCTCACACGGGATGGTCGAATCAGACGTGACATGCCCAATAAGTTAGTATCGTCCTGCGGATTTGACAGCATCGAGCTCTCTAATGGGTTCGTTAAATCAACGTGCTGACTTAAGTCTTCCACGAGGTCGGTATGCCGGAAGCGCAGCACTGCCGGTCTGGGACCACTTTCGAGAATGTCAATTACCTTTTGGAAACGCACGCTCTGTGTCGAAAATTCATTGATAAAGACCAAGTGATCGCCTGCTCGCACATTGAACATGCCAGGCAAAAGCTGGTTGCCTTGTGACTGGAGAACACACGGGTATCCAGTACTTGGGTCGGGACGAAACCCAAGACCAAGCGGAACGCCTTCCTTCCATAAAACCTCATAGTCCTCTTCACCCAAGAGCTCAAGCGATCCTGATCGTAAGCGGAATGATTCGGTCGGGTTCCGGAAGAAATGCAAACGCACTGGCTTCTGAACTTCCTGGAGTAACGACAAAATGCGACGGATATCACCTTTTTTTACTTTCACCTTCCCAACAGCTAGCAGAACATCGCCGCGAGAAACCTCAAAAATGTCAGCACAGTTGCTCAAGCTTTCGTGAACACGACGGACGATGGGCATTCCAGATACCGGGTCGCTTTCAAAGTACAAGCCAAGCAGGCCGCATTCCCATACAATCTCATACTCGTTTTGAACACGCTTTGGTGGCTCATAGTCGCCGATCATTTTCTTTCTTGATGCATGGGAACTGCTTCGAACACTCATGCTTCCGTCATAATCAGAGTAATCACTAGTAGACACTGAACTACTCTGAAACGAAATGGTAGTATTCTTCCGGTCTTTCAAAGAAACGGACTCCGAAAAAGAATCGGAACTTGCTGTGGTACTACGCTCATCGAGGGAACCCACGTAAGATACGTCGTGCTCGAAACTCAGCGTGTTGGCAGTATACTCGCGTCGGACGAGCCATCCACGCACAAAAGACTGAATTATAGTAGCCGCATGCATACGCCTTACCAATTTCCTGGCCAAAAATCCGCGGACTGTGCTTTGCACCCTTATTGCCGAACGTTGGCGGCGCACAATGCGCTGGTAGCGATACCAGCATGACCAACAGCGCCAGATCGCCTGAATACGAACGATCGATCGGCGCTTACGCTGATAACAAGAACGCGCACTGTAGCCCAGACAGTATCTCTGTAGCGTAATAACAGACTTGTATAAAGCCTTCGAACGAGCTGCTTCTAGCGCTTGATGGGCTTCAAGAACACAAAAAACCTTTGTCTTACCCACCTGAAACGGCGGATGTTTTGCGCTTGTAACAACAGTAAGTATTTCTGCTAACGCATCCACCATTTGCATAGCCACCTCTTTCTCCGCTTGTTCCCGTGCGTTTGGTACCTGAGACAAGATGCAACTGTACGTTTTGATAAATACATCGTGAGGAAAACGCACAGAATAACCGCTACGAGAAATCTTGACAGCTTCCAAGACACCACTGCAGCGTAGCTGCTCCAATAGACGCCTCTGCTCGAACTGTGACGCACTTGCCTGGTCATTTGGCTTTATGCAACGAATGAAGTGAGGCTCCGTAGCATTCAGTATTTCCAAGAGCGAACTCAACTGACTCTTGAACTGCGCCACAACCGTGGATGACAGCATACCACCAGATCGGCGACGGTTGCCATCGCTGCCGCGAGGTTCCATCCGACCGATCCTAGGGCTGGCATTGCCAGGAGCAGTGACACTGTTTTCGAAGCAAGCACGCACAAAAGAGGATTTTGAAGTACGTAGTAAATCCAATGCCTCCGTGTGCATGTGGTCTTTGTTTTTATCACAAAAGCCATCCGTCATATAGCACACATTTCCCGCATAATGGTGAATCACAAACTGGCCCTTAGCGCGTTGAAGTCGGGTCACTGAGAAGCTCTCGTGCTTATCTGCAAGACACTCGTAATACTTGTTTGCCAACTTTTCGTCATTGCCGCGCGGAATTAGACATTGCTCGTCCAAAAGAGAGAATATGCCTATGTGACGCTTTTCGACTAGCGCCACGCATACATCGTTATTTGGGTAGTCCACGAACTTCCAAGGTATTTCCTCTGCCACGTACTGATCTTGCTCCATGCGGAACACAAACCTACCAAATAACTGTTGTAACTTCTCGTTGGCGTAATTAATACACAACTGCTCCAGGCGGTTTTGCTCAAAAATTTCAAAACCAAAAATGTCAACGACGCCAATAAACTGACTACCACCCGCTTCTTCCTTGTACTCGATACTTCTGTTGATGCGGCCCACTAACCAGTTAAATAGGTTGGAGTACAGCGTTTTTACTACTGCATCCCGAGTTGAAAGCGCCTGTGCAACCGGAAGGCGAGTCGTGATGAACTCGGCACCAGCCTTAATTTGCTTTGTGCACAAAGTGCGCCGTAAAACGTCCTCCGCCACGCCAAGAAGTGAACAAATGGCTTGAATGTTATTACCACACTTACCCATGTCCACGACAGAAGCGTCATCCTTTCCACCATTTTGCATGGCCGTTGTGAAACATACATTACCAAAATGCAGCACTGCAGAGACAATCTTCATTACATTCAGCTGTTCATCAGGACTCATGCCAATGCTTGACATGGCTCTTCGAGTAATGTGATAAGATTCAGCATCAACCACACCGTCCAAACGTTTGTAACACTCAGACTGATTTAAATACGCGTACTTGTGTACGTCCTGAAGCGCCAATTCCTGACGCTCAGACGGAGAGCTGCCGTCACACATCTCGTAGAAAACATGGTAGTTTCGTTCGCACTTGCCCTGTGAAACGAGACGCACGCGTTCCAAAAGGTACGTAGAGATGGACGCACCTAGCATCTCACCAGATGACGTGAACCCCAGCTTGATAAACTTGCCAAAGCGACTCGAGTTATTATTCCTTGTAGTTCTGGCATTGCCAAATGCTTCTAATATCGGGTTTGACTCCAGCACTCGATCGTGAATGGTCGTTTGGTCGCCATTACTTGATTGAATCACGCGACGTGTCCGCTTGGTCGAGACGTAAGCCAAGTAGTTCATAATGAGCTTCGTAGTCTCCGTCTTACCAGCCCCACTCTCACCGCTAACAAGAATCGTCTGATCTGTTTTCTTGTCACTCGTTCGTGGTACGAGCATTGTCCGAAACGCCTGATCGGCTACAGAATACACATGTGGTGATAATAAGGTCTTATCTGCTTCTGCATTTCCTCCCAAATGATAATACTGGTCCTTAATATCGTCCGAGTACAGTGATAATCGTCGAAATGGGTTCATGGCGACCAAAATCTGTCCTGTACTAGTATAAATGTCTCCATGAAAAAACCGACGTCGTAATACCTGAAGAATAGCTGGTTCATGTAAATGCACGAGCTTTGTCAAGTCCTGTACTGTATGGTAAAGTTCTCCCTGACTACGTGGTAAGACCAAATCTGTCGTAATCGACACAGCTCGTCGCATAGAATCGTGACGTTTACGCACCAATTCATCTGAAACTTCCTGTGTGTTTATGACGGCAACATTATTCTCATTCTCGACAGTCACAAGCTGTTCATCCTGAGTCTCTACTTCATAGGCACATTCCATAAGACCAGTAGAAGCATTCAGAGGCGTGATAATGACTGCTTCATGCCAAACTTCACAGTCAAAGACCCAGACAGAAGCACCAACTTCCATAAGAATAAGAATATCACTGTGCAATGTTAAACACGTTAACTACTACCAAAAAAACGATAAAGTTGTCAAAATAGGGTGAGGAACCTTCCTCAAAAACTCACAAGAGACAACAAAGGACGTAAAATAAAAATAAGTTCCAACACGTAAAATCCAGCTACTATAGCCCAATTTATCAAAGGATATATAGTACGTGCAAAAGTAGAAGAGATAGAATCGAAAGGAAGAGAAGGGAAGGAGGAGAAGGAGGAAGACAAGAAACTCAGACTTCACTACAGTCGACGTGACGGAAATTATGACCAAGGCGGTTAGTCATATATAATAATAGCCAGCAAGGGATAGACACACCTACCCCTGCTTCTAGACCAGACTGTGTGTGAGATGCAACGATATACACCTCTATATTTGTATATTTGACGAATGAGATGACGTTTCAAGGTTTTTTTATAACATCACAACAACAAAAAATAGGTATAATGGACAGGCAGCTGATTGGGGATATTTGCAGCTCTCGGAAATGTTCATGTATGTGGAAAAACCGCTGGAAAACAAGCGGCTGCACTCATGGCTTACATCAATAGCAGCTTAGGTTGTGCCGCGTACTGTCCATCACAGCATGCAAGCTTGATGGGGGACAGTAATTATGTCGAGGATTTTTGTCCTGAATCGTCTGACATGGGTACTAAAGTACATGTACTGGTTTTAAGCTGAATCGCAGCAGACTGGGAGTTTATAGTAGTCATACAGAACATGTTTGGGCGGCTGTCCCCTACGACAGTTGCAGACGTGCGAGTGTGAGCGGTGGATCGGGTGATAAGCACTGGAGAATAATGCAATTGCCGGGAATATTGCTTTGTCAAGTCACAACGTATCATTACGTGAAGGATTACGTGATGTTGTAAGATGTACAGACAGACGTCAAAATAGAAGCGGTTTATTCTAAATTGTCAAGTTTAGTCGATTTCAAACAACTGATGCATTTACATGAACTACCATGTAGCAAGAAACACTCAGAACTTGTAGCACATATCTCGTGACAATAGTGTGATTCTAATGTGATACATTGTTAGAAAGTGATTATATACATTTAAAGACCTAAACAGTAAGAACGTAACGGAACTGATTGTTTTCATATGATTTACAATACACATGCAATAACTATTATCCAAGCTCTGTAATGATTTACCTTTTGACAGCTACTAGTAGTGTGTTTCATGTTATCTAACAGCATTATGCTGTGGCTAAAATTGCTGTTATTTCCACAGTTCATACCAAGAGTATGGAGATGAAAGGTATATGTGATATGTGAGTGGAGCTCAGCCGTCTTACAATACTACAACGTTGTTGTCTGGTAGGGAGTAGTACTATGCATTGTGTTGTGAAAGTACCTGTAGGAGTAGTATTATGCATTGTATTGCTTTGAGTACCTGTCGTGTGTACCTAGCAAACGTACAAACAAACTCAAATGTCTCTCAAGGACGAGAAACTATCAAGACTGTGTTCTTAATTTACGGTTAGTGTTACGGCTATGGTAAATATGTACATCAGGGTTGCGTCACTGACAACGGCAGCTTCTGTAAAAGCGAATAAATTGCAACTGTTACATGCTGATACGCAACGTAGGTAAGAAGAACTCTGCAAATTCTTATGTAGAGACGAAAAAGTAGTAAGTAAGACACTACAAGCTGTCTTAGTGTTCAGCGCAGATATAGCCTTTGGCATTACAGTGCATTTGTTTCAATATCAAAAGCAATTCTTTGTTGCGTTTTGCACTGCTTGTTCGCTCGTAACACCAGAGAGGTAAACTGCATGTTCATGTAGATAACTCTAATTCGACATTCGCAGTGCTGCTGACATGTACAAAGCTCTCCAGAGCTCCACAAAAAACACTATTGAGGTCAACGATGGCTACACAGGAGTCATTATTTCGTCATGAAAACGAGTTAATATCGTTAGTAGAAATCATATGGGCCACGTTAGTCTAGCTTCAATGAATCACGGTACTCGGTCTCACGATCTATCCATCCTACGCAGTATACGTCGTGAACCAAGAATCTGGGTAAAGCTTGATGAAGCAAGGCTAATGAACATTTCTTGACTTTGTCAAATTCCACCTTTTCGGCTAGCTTGAATGTGCGGTCAAAGAGTAGTATATACTCAATGAATAGACGTCTGCTTCGTGTTTATCTGCTAACCTGCGCTGACCAAATACGGCGTCACACTGTATACTGCCGGTAAAGTGATGATATGGCAGCAACCGGCTGAGAAAGAAGGATCAAAAGTTTGTCTGGCTATCCGAACATCTAGTTTGTGGTGTTCTTTGCAGGCTCAAATAGAATGCAACACAAAGTTGATGGCTTGACTTCATTCTTCACGATTTTATATTTGCACACAGTAGGTCCTTTAACTTGTATACTGTATCGACATCGCGGTCATACACACTACAATAGCTATAATTTCAGTTTTTCGACATGCTTCTCTATAATCTTATTCTCAAACAAATAGCGAGTTGTTACGAATGGTTTTCGTAACGCAACTTGACAGCTTGATACTGCTCATAGCAATATCTCTGATAAACAAGACGGAAGCAAGTTCTATGACACAACAAATTTCCACCATGATGATCCGAATATTCCAAATCTTATGAACTTGTGCGGAACTTTTGCTACTCTTCACTTGCTGGCGCATTGACCAATATGATGCGCATATGTATCAGAGTGTAGTCAACTTCAAGGGAAGACAACGTTTTGAGGTTTATACCCACAACATGATCAATTAGACAATATTTTGCATGGACATCTAATGATAGTGTCAATATTATGCATAAGCTCACGCCGTGTCAAAAGTCGCCACGAGCATTATATACTGAATAAATAAAAAAGAGACCATGCGTACTTGTGTGTATTGCGAGACTGGGAAAGGAAAACCTAACCTACAGGGCAAGACACCGTGAAATGTCAAAGCGACATACCCTTTCCAGATTATAGCAATGGATCACATTCTCTCTTTACCCAAGTCGCACAAAGGAAATACTGAACTACTGATTTGGGTCGTCTTGCTCAAGGGATATGTGATGGCCAAGGCTAGTGCTTCGCGGAAGGACCAGACAATAGCTGAAGGGTACGAAGAATGCGTTTTTTGTCGTTTCGGTGCTATTGAGGCAATCCGTCACTATCGAGAACCATTTTTTATGTCGGATCTCTTTTGGGCGTTTAGTCGCATGGTGAGCCAGAGCCAGCAGGCGACCAAAGCCTATCGACCTCAGGCGAATGGTACCGCGGAGAGGATGGTTCAGACCCTGACAAGGTCCATTAATATGTACGTCTCTGGTGTCGGACAGCAGGACTGGGATAAGTATGCAGAACGACTAACGTTTGCGATGAACACCGCGCAAGACCAAGTCCGGAAGGAGACACCGTTCTATCTGGTCCATGGCAAAGATGCTAGAACCACCCTCAAAGCTACATTACCTGTGGTAAATACACGACGTCGAGATTCTGGACCTCAAAGATGGCGATATCACATTCAGCAACACTATTAACGAGCAAGAGCTCGGTGAATGCAATTTGACGAACGACCAGCCAAGCTCGGGTACGAGCCCACAATGAAGGAGTGATCGACCACAAGATTCAGCCAGGAACTCAGGTACGGCTTTAACTGAACCTTGTGAAAGAAGGTACGCCAAGGAATTGGCCCACCTTTGGTATGGACCTTTCGAGTTTTGGAAGATAATTGGAGAGTACGCGGCATGTTTGGAAACCCGAGGTACGGAGTACAGGTTATTCCCGATCGTACATCTTTCCAAGCTCAAAAGGTTTAGAAAGCTCCCCAAACGACCGAGTCCATGCTGGAGATGGACGAACAGATGGGTCGATTTCGATGGATGCCTGCTGACAGAGGACAGTTGGGTAAGAGAGCTTGAGGAGGTTGAGTACGAGGTCGAGGAGATATTGGAAGACCGCACTGGAAAGAAGACGCGCTATGGGAGACAGCAACGGGAGTTCCTCGTTCGTTGGAAAGGGTATGCAGACCCCTCATGGGTGGATGGGGTGGATTTGAATTGTGGAGCCTTACTTTGGGACTTCAAGCGCAAGGAGAAATTGCTTCGAAGTGATGCAAACTTATGAGGACTAGTGGCGGTCGCCGAGGCCTTAGGATGGTCGATCAGAGACTCAAGTGGGTAGACCTCTGCCTTCTGAGGTGGACCTTTGGTCGTTCTAGGTTGAACATTGTCTATCATTGGTAGACATCATTCTTTCGAGGTTGACCCTAGTCTATCATTGGTAAATATCGGTCTTTCTAGATTGACCTCGAGTTTTTCTTGGTCGACCATGGTCATTCGTGGGTAGACCTCGATCTATCATTGGTATACCTTGGTTTCTAAGATGATGAAGAAAAGGAATTGACTTGAAGTTTGAAGTTATAAGGAAGTACATATATACGACGAAAACAGAGAAAGATGTGAAAGACCAATCAAAAGAAAACGAACGCACGTATATACAAGAAAAAAAACTAAGGAGTGAAGACGAACTTGTTCCGGATGTGCGCTACTTGGCACTCAGGATGAAGCCCCGATATAAGCCGATACTGAGTGAGCCGGATGTGTGTTGCTGAATGTGATATCGCCATCTTCGAGGTCCAGAATCTCGACGTCGTGTATTTACCACAGGTAATGTAGCTTTGAGGGTGGTTCTAGCATCTTTGCCATGGACCAGATAGAACGGTGTCTCCTTCCGGACTTGGTCTTGCGCGGTGTTCATCGCAAACGTTAGTCGTTCTGCATACTTATCCCAGTCCTGCTGTCTGACACCAGAGACGTACATATTAATGGACCTTGTCAGGGTCTGAACCATCCTCTCCGCGGTACCATTCGCCTGAGGTCGATAGGCTTTGGTCGCCTGCTGGCTCTGTCTCACCATGCGACTAAACGCCCAAAAGAGATCCGACATAAAAAATGGTTCTCGATAGTGACGGATTGCCTCAATAGCACCGAAACGACAAAA